CGTCGTATGCTCGCGAAATACGTTGGCAGCACTGGCTGTAAATCAGCTGGTCAGCTGTTGTACTGTTGTATTTGTCACTTCACATTAAATGTTATATTAAAAGTTCACTTCTGTGTAAAAATAGGTTATGTTTCTTCACAAATTTATTTGTTTTATGGAAACTGTAGGAAAAGTATAATGTGCAACTCGAGTTCAAAGTACAATTGCCTCACTCGAGAAACCATTCCTCACTCGCCTACGGCTCGTGAGTAAGGATTTCTCTCGAGTGAGTCAATTGCTCACTATTCTCACTAGTTGCACAAATAACTATTATCAAACGTCTTAATTTTTATATTTTAATCTATTTACAATGGAGTTTTTACAACTGATCTTCCGTCATTATCTATTATTCTTATTCAAAATTTAATGTAGAACACGAAAATGACATTATCTGCTCAAATCCATATACAGGTAATTGAGAAATTGCGAAATTTCCAACACACGAAATTTCCCAATTTCTCTTTGAACTTTTTTAAAGAGCTTAGAAAACAAATAATTCAGTATATCATAGTGTTTTGTTCGTTTATTGGTAACGGATAAAATTGAAAAAAATGTAAATTTAAAATTCCCATGTTATTCTTATGGAGGATACTGTAAAATGGTGTAGTTTGTTTGTTTATGTATATATTTTGATCAAACTTGGCAAATTTATTTATTTTATACTAAGCTATCAATGTTTTACTAAAAAACGCAATTTATTAGTTTCCTTGTAGCAGCAAACCTAGGTTCTCGTTAAACATAATTTAAATATATTTAATTGAAAATCAATTCAGACAAATGGAAATTCGCTTAGTCGGCAGGTTGGCTGCGGCGGGGGTATTTAATTCTTGTACTTAATTTTATTGTCTCTAATTTTAAAACGGAAGTGAAAGTTTAATAGCCCTAAATAGCGCAATTACTTTTCGGACCCCATATTAATTGCATTGTTATCATAACGACTCACTGTGTACCACTACATTGTTGTGGCAAATTTTCAGCATTGTTTTTGTATTAAAATATAAGTTATATATACCGTTAGAAAGGTAATATTCTGACAAAAAAGTGTATGTAAGAAGTTTTCAGTTACGTGTAACGGTATCCATGACACTTAGCAAAATGACTTAAAAAATCTAAATAAAAAACAAAATATTTAATAAAACTATAAATATTCGTAGTATTATGAATCTAAACAATTAAGTAAAATACACCATGGGAAAGGTAATTTTTTTGTGATTAATAATCACTAAACATGTAGGGCACTATTAAAATATGAACCCGAGTTATATAGGGAAATGTAGAATCGTGTCACACAGCTTTGGCGGCCATTTTGATTACGTCATCAACACACATAGAGTGCCCGAAAAATTTGTGTCCCGGGCTTTTTGGACTCGTCTACGCATGTACTATCTGAATCCAAAGGGGCGCGTTGGTTGCCAGATGTGAAATATTTTGGTGTAATTTGTTGCTAGCCCACCCCACTACATCTTTAGTTGAAAAACACAAAATCCTGTCACGACCATAACGGACGTTTAAATGAATATTTAAAATAGTTAATATTATTTTTATAACTATGTTTTGCTATAAACTAATTTACTTTTATGACCATTATACAATAAAAAGGTCACTGAGCTTTTGGTATATTTGGTCTTTCTAGAAAAAAATAAAAAAACTCAAAAAATTGAAAAAAAGCCAATAAAATCTTTTTAAGTTTGTATAACTCCGAAAAAACTTACCTGAGAACCGAAAAATCGTTATGTTTGTATAGAGATGTGCTTCTTTTGTGTATAAAACATTGAAATATGACGATATTATTTTAATTTTTGAAATTTTTATGATAGAAATCATAAACGTGATGGTCAGGGACAAGCGGTATGGTCGTGAATTGTCTGGAATAATCTAAATCTTTCTAAACAATCCTTCAATTATCGTGTTAGTTATAATAAAAATATGTGTTTCAATTGAACTAAACTGTTCAATTTACAATTATATTAATGTTATTGTCACGACTAAACACATTATAATCCATAAGGCTGGATTGGTCGTGAAAAAACCCGCGGTGGTCGTGAAACTTTGGTCGTGAAATTACGTGTTATTTGGCTCTGTTCTGGCGGTAGCCCTGCACCTCATGTTCGAGGATACAAAGTGGACTTCTACGTTAATCTAGCAATTGAAATATCTTATAAACAAAAATTAACACCATGTCTACTTCATCGAATGACTACGTACGGTCATGGACACACCAAAATTACAAAAAACACAATATTTCCTTTATTAATCTTGTAATTCCGCCTTTCAACTCGAAACGACCGGCACTACAATCCTGACGTACTTCCCGAACTAGTCTCTAAAACCAACTGACTCCATCGACGCCAGGCTTGCCACTGTCGTGCTCCAAAGTTGAAAATTTTTCCCATATGGTCTTGACGCCAAATCGAGGGACAGACTTATTTTGTCATGGTAGTCAGTTTGTAATGACAATAAAATTATAATATGCTCCTTTTTTGTAAGTTTAATAACCATTGATGACATAAAAATATGGCTTTATATATTTCGGCATGAATAATTAGTCTAAAAACAGTGTGAAAGTTGGAAAATGTACCCTAGGGACACGTCATGGTCGTGAATTTTGAGACTTTAAAAATATGAAAAAAATACCTAGAACCTATTTAAAACCAAATAAATGTGTGTAACATGTTGCCCCGTCCCAAAAAATATTAAAACACATAATAATAAACTAAAAATCCAGTATCTACGAAATAAAAGGCCAGGGACATAAAAACGTACGTTTTTAAATTTTCACTCCTATAAATGAATCTATATTAAAGAAATAAAATGAGCTTTTAAAATATAGTTTGGTTGAATGTCCTTTGAACTTAATGAAATTTACATATAGGCTAAGATGCTTAAAAATAATGCAATATTTAAAAATAAGTGCCAAATATGATGGGACACCCAACTATTTGAAGCTGTTGTTGTAATGTTAGGTTTATAATGCCAACAAATTAAATAAAATCCAGGAATAATTTGTTTTCCAAGTAACGTTAGATACAATACTGACATTTCTTGTTTAAATGCTTGTTCAATAAAAATGTAGTTGCAATTAAATTTACATTTACCTAATGTGCGTGGAATAAAAAGTAACGTTTTTGGAAAAGTAGCAAAAATTGTAGCTGTAGCTACATTTCATTGTAGCTGTAGTTGTAGCTAGCTACTTTTTCGGAACTGTAGCTGTAGCTGTAGCTAAGCTACTTTTTTGGAAATGTAGCAGTAGTTGTAGCTAGCTACATTTTAATAGTAGCTTCCCCAACACTGGGTAGGGCGTATGACCACCCAGATCCAGTGCAGTTCTCGTATAGATTACGATGGTATATTCTAGGCAAACATTCCTCTACACAGCCTTTGCTGTGAAAGGAAATGTCCAACCGGATGATGAAACGTGTTTGGTTTCAAGTTTCAACCTTTGAAACATATGTACCTACAGCTGCGAAGGAATTGAAATGGAGTTCTGCCAAAGCGCAAAGATTTTAGGCACTGTGCTTACAACGCCTCCAGATGACGCTTTGGACGATCACGAAGAAGATTTGTCTCTAGAACAACTGTCATTCATAATACCTCCAGAGTCAAAACCAGCAGACATCATAGGGGACGAAGGACTGCGATATGTGGCTGGTTATGTCGCATTTAAGTTGAAGAAAAAATATCCCCACCTGGGAACACCCTCAAGCCACATATTGAGCGTTGATCCAGAAACATCTCAGCAGTGGATCGAGACTGTTTCCAAAGGGGGTTTAAGCGTCCCTTCAGACGATTTCTTAGGCTTTGCCAGACAGATTGAAAATGCATTCAATGAAATTCATGGTGAATGTGTTTGCAAAGAGCGTGGTATAAAAAACAAAGTGTTTGATAAAGTGAGTAAAACCAAAGAATTGTACCCAAATATCCCCGATAAAGCGGCGTTACGACTGATACAAGTTAGAACTTATATTCGAATAAAGCACCTCAACACAAACTCTAATGCTGCATTTGAGGAAGGAAGGAAAAAAATGACAAATAAGTTAAAGAAGTTAAAAAAGTAGACGAGCCTGTAAAAAAACAAAAAGTTTAAATGAGTGTTTAAAAGTTTGTTTGATATTTATACCAATGTTTGTAATTTTCAATGTTAAATATTTAAAAAGTCATAGAGTTAGAAATTTAACAATCATAACTAATTAGTAACTGTATTGAACACTGTCTTTATTGTAGGCCTACAACTATCACACACTGTACAGTACTGCAATGTCTTGTTTGTGTTTTTTATGCCATGACTTAGGGTATTTTGTCTTATGTATTGTATCCTAGTTCAGTTATAACAATAAACCTAATTTTTAATTAAACCTTTAACAACTAAAATGAACTCTATTTTAATGATAAGTTGTTCACTTTTATAACCACAATATATTGAATTTGATACTTTTAACAGTCACTTTTACAATAAAATGAAAGTTTAACGTTGTTCAGTTCAGTTTTGGAAAAGGGTTTGTCGATCATTACATTTTAAGTTGTTATCCGATTTCTTAAAACGCAGTTACGAATTTTAAAGGTGTTACGAAATTGTCCTCAGTAAAATGTTCCGAACAGACCCGTGCGTTTTTCACATTAATGCCAACCCGATCACTCGATCGCAACCACTGTCGTTTTGGATAATCATTTTATGGAAATCTATAATATTTTTCTTGAGAGTCTTTAGTTTTGCGATAGTAATTTTTACAACCGGCAACTGCACAAAACACCATTCCACTATTTTGAAAACATTACAAAAACAATAACAATCAAATCAAAACAAACACATACCAAAATGACAGTTACAATCAGGTGATCTTTTGTTTGCAATCCGAGTGACGTCAGAATTTACGGGAATAGCACACCTATGTTTTTTCCTTCCACAATAAGAGTTTAATATTTAAGGAATTTGTAACACATGACATATAGTTTAGACAACTCACTCTGAGGCATATTGAAGCCCAGGTCTAATGTCCACTGCTGCAGCATCTGTATGAAGGTGGCCAGAGCGTTACCTCCGTTGAGAGCAGTTGCCACAGCCAGGTACTTGCCATCAAAGTATGGGAAATATTCTACCGGACTGGAGGCTGGAACATGCGGCGTCAGTTAGGAACCATCAATCAAAGCCAGAAACATGCCATCAAAGTAGGTAATATAAATAAAAGAATAAAATAAATAAAGAATTACATAGGAAAACTGGCCAAATATCAGACTGATATTGCTTTACCTGAGCTGAAAACCTTTTTCCTACCTTAGAGAAATATAACTTATTTGGTGGTCTCCCTGAATGGAGCGCCAAATTCATCCAGTTAAAGAACACTGTGAGCTTTACAATGATTCTGATGACAATACTTTAATACTTTTTCAATGAATAACGTGAAGGAAAAAATTAAGGATGAAATTTGGGACAAACTTGTGTGTTACCCTAAACTGTTCTTTGTCCAAACAAAAATATTCTCTTAAAGACGAGTCTAGCAGTTCAGGTGTCAAAAAATACTCTCTATGAAGCAAGCCTTTTTATCATGATTGCATTAATGACTTTCATACATTGTTTGGATAGCAAAAATAAGTTATTGCATTTATTGATTAGTTATTGAAGAGTCCGAATTAGATTCTGGGGCAATGAATTCTTCACCAACTTCACGCAACATTGTGCAAACCAAATATAGAAAACCTCTGTCTCTTGTCACTTCACCAAGTCCTAGCTTCCGCCTGCTCCTCGCTTCACTTCAATCTGTGGCAATCTTACAAGTTTACTCACATAGGATACAGCTGTGTTTCAAATTGAACTGTTTGCAACAGTTATTTGTTTTTTAGTATTCTTTTGTTCAGATCCGAAATAGGATTAAACTACGACCTCAATTCTCGCCTGCTAATTAAAAAGTTAATTTAATTATACTTACCATCGACTTGATCCGTTTGGAAATTAGCAGCAACAAATCCCAGCTGTGCGGATGTAGAAATGTTCAAAACAGCATCATCCAAATTCCGAAGTGTTGCTAAAACTGAACACTGCAGATCTCCTAGAGCTGCAGCTAGAGCCAAGTATTTGATCATAATCAAAACTAATAGGTACTTATAATTTGGATGTTATAAATACGTTTGGTGTGCAAACTATACAAGCAATGTGTCTGTACCCAAATACATCATAATTATTGGTATATTGTATGGTACACAAATTAGGAATATTTTAGTTGACAGCTATTTAGGCTACAGTACAGGGTCCATAGGAAGTGTTTCCGGGAATTTAGAAAGTCTTCAATTAGATAATATTGTTAAAATATCTTTAAGATTAGTGTTTTATCCTATATTTCTGTAATATTCTTTTTACAACAAAAGCAATCTAAGGTTTGAACACCCTGTAGGATATATCCTAAAGACATAGATTTATAGTTGTCTTATTAAGTTTTTAAATCTTGTAGGTTCATATTGAAAATAATTCCACACTTACTTTTACTTTTTCACTTTTTTAAGTTTACTTTGATGGGTTTTCCCTCACTTAACACATTCACTGCTGACAGCTCTGATCGGAGTCTTGCCATACTGGCACATGGTACTTAGGACTCCGGTTGGAGTAACGGTACATCTTTTTTTAAGATTGGTCTACAGTGAGCTCCGTGTTTATCGGAGATCAACTATATATTAGAATGTTGTACCACTCCCATACTTCATTTCAGTTGCGTCAGATTTTTTTCCATCAACTAGTGCCGCTAGCGGACGGTTCCAAATAGAGTCCCCTTTGTGCACCCTTTAGTGTGAGCCTAGCTTTTGCTGCGTTTTAGCCTTTTTGAGGCTTTTCAGCAGTGAACATTATTTTTATTTACAGTTGTCTGCACTAACTTTTCAGGATGGTACATTAAAAGTTATTTGTTGTTTCTATTGGAAACATAATGACTAATTTCCTTTTCATATCCATAAAAATCACTGATTTACTTAATAGTTTTGTATAAAAATCCTGATTACTTTTTCCTCCCATACATAGTATGTGGAGAATGTATTGTTTTGTAATTTTCGAGTTTGACTACTTTGAGTTTTGGGGTGATATATTTGTTTTGGGTGCCCTGAGGCCCGAAAAAGTAGGGTTTTAGGTGATGTCTGGTTAAGTGTATGAGTGTGTGAGTGTCTGCGTATAGCGCTACAGACTACATCTGTGGTATGATTTTGATCAAATTTTGTATGTGGGCAGTGGCGGCGATAGCGGGCCCACGAGCTAGGGGGGCTTTTAAGCATTGACCGGAATTTTTCGGGAAATTTTACCGGGACAGGGGCCTGCGATTGTGCGACAGGCTGAGGGCTCCTATCGTAATAATATTTATAGGAGAATTACCATACTTTTTTATGACAAAAATTTGTTAAACCCAGTAAGAGCACTAGGACAAGTAGTTTACAACAGCTAAACTGACACTATTAGTATTACTAGACCAATCGATATAAATCCTCTACCAACTCAAGTAAAACAATTTTCATCAGTCATGCAGGTGTCATTAACTGTCCTCGTGGACTTTGTAAAAGCGCCATAATTGGGCCGTATTTAGAACCAATGTGGCCCCCTGCCTAGGAGATCCTCCTAGGCCCCGGCGGGTCACACCAGAGCCCTCTATGCTGATTCAAATAAATTAACTTGACATTTTTTTACGACCAAATCGGCGAATTAACCTAGGTGGCTAGGGGACTAGCTAATAAATCATTTCATTCTTTCATTGACGCTAATGGAGGATTTTCATTTAATTTTTTACTATGAGGAGGCTGCACTTTAGATTTGTTTACTTCGAGTAAGGTAAAATTTGTTACTTAACTATAGGCCTCGAACCCAATCAGGTCGGTTCAAAATCGGTTTGCTTTGGAAACAGTTGATTTTTTATATAATGGCAATTTTCGAGCCGGGCAGAGCCTGGCCTACAAGCTTGAGAGATCAAGCACAATGTCAGAAAATCAAGCTCATCGAGCCGATTTTCTCAGTACACAATACAAAAATGCCCAATTAAAAGTAAAAGCTTTTATGTCCGCGAAGATCACGCTCACTAAATTGAAAGATTAGGCCTACGCTTTTTCTGCGATCGCGGATATCGACCAGAACATTTCCCCGCGAGTGACAATGACATTCTCTCCGCGGCCGTATGAGATGTTCAATATTTTGCCGCGATTGCGGAAGACGATATTGACGTTTCTTTTTCCGCGAGAGATATATCCAGGATTTTGCTGCGATTGCAGAAAAAATTATTTCCCTCTCACCACGGGTTGCGTAAAATACTAGGAATTGGGCCGTGAATGCGGGAGACGATGATGTTGTGATTTGATGATGTCCTAGGTTAATTGCAATCACGGTTGGTTGATGATAATGTTTTCATGACTACTGAAATTATTCACGATTTTGCTGCGATCATGGAAGACGATGATAACACCTCGGTGCCTTGGGAGATGCTGTGGCAAGCTAAAGTGCAATTGCTTTAATACTTTTCGATGAAATGGCAACCATACAAAGTCGGTATATTAAGCCAAGTATGAATGTTTAGGCGATAATACATGTGATAATGTTTTAAAGAATATTGGGAGAAGGGGGCCTGGCGAACAAACTTGCTGGGGGGCCCGCGGGATCTTATCGCCCCCATTGTATGTGGGTACTAATCCGTAGTATTTCCAGGCATTATTTTTTTTGAGAATTTAGTTTTTTATTTTTTCATGATGGGTTAGCCTCTGGATCGAAAATTGCAATATAAAATGGTTTAGGTTACCTTTTGCGTCGAACGATCCTTGTGTAGTAAGTGATAACTACAGCTGTTTCATGCCGCTGGGGCACATCTTCAGGTTGTAGAGCGTCAAGATAAAATAGCTGTCATCCGTGGATGATTTGGTCAAAATAAATATTACACAGAAAACATAAATAAGAAAACATTTAAATACACGAATTTAACAAACTTGGCCAAGTGACAAACTGACAAACACGCGAGACAGGCGCCAGTGAATGTTGCGTCATGACTGCGGGCGTGGTCCAAGCATCAGCTGTTACCCCCCTCCCCCCTACACCTTAATCAGGACCTGTTTTGTTTTGGTCTATTGGTTTTGGCAGTATTGTAAATAATGTTTGATCTGAATGAAGTTTGTTCGTTTAATAGATGGTCAGGGTGTTCTTTGGATACCTTGTAAATTTCTAATTTCTCTATTGTGTCCATATATCTGCCTTTATTGCATAAATGCATAATTTCTAAATTACTATGTATATCTGTGTAGTTGTGGTTTAAGTTAATAATGTGGTTGGCAAATGCTGATTTCGAGTTCTTTTTGGGTAGATGTTCTTTAAATCTAGTAGCGAACGAGCGAGCAGTTTGGCCGATGTAGAAACTCGGGCAATCGTTGCATTTGAGTTAGTAAATGCCGGTGTTATTATAGTTTTTTATGGTATTTTTTCCATACCCTATAAAATAAGAGAAAAAAATTGAATACGGTATTCTCAAAGATGGCTCAAATGATTTTGATACAAATTTAGTAAGTTATAGTCCTTTTAACACTAAACAAAACAGAACAACACCCTTTATTGTAAAAATTGAGGTTCAAAATTTATAATAACTTATGTGATTTTCTCATAAAATAACAAAAAATGGATTTTCAAAAAAAGCTTGACCGACTTTGATTAATGATAACTATTTATGGTTTTTAAAATTCTATACAGTTTTGTATAACAGGATGTATGATAAGTTCCAGGTTTTTTCCTGGATTTTCCAAGTTTTTTTCAAGTTACTGCGTGAATGTTTCCCATATGAACATTATATTAATTCCTGCGTAAATGTTTAGTTCCAATTAAACTATAACTAATTTAAGACTTACAGCTAAGGTATGCATCAATATACATTACATTTGTATGTTTATAATCTTTCCAAATATCAGTGAGCTAGTGTTGATCACAGCAAAATCATGAAAATCTTCTGCGGCCGTAAAGACATCATTATTGTCATCTTTCGCAGTCACGGAAACGTCATCTTCGTCATCCACGATCCCAGCAAAATCATGAACATCTTTCGCGGCAGTGTACACATCATCATCATCATCGTCTTTCACGGTCACGGAAACATCATCATCGTCATCCGGGCTCTTGGCAAACCCACTAAACACTTACGTGGCCATGTAGACATCATCGTTGTCTTTTGCGGTCACGGAAACATCGTTGTCGTCGTCCAATATCGCAGCAAAAACATGAACATCTTCCGCTGCCGTGTAGACGTCATCATTAATTCCAGTGGTCATGAAAACGTGATCCTCGACTTCCATGATTGTGGTAAAATCATGAACATTTCTCGCAGCAGTGTAGACGTCATCATCAACATGTATGGAATGTTTTGTGCAAATAAAGTATGTCTATGTCTATGTCTAAGACTGAACGTTCATAGATTTATTGACATAGGCCACTACGTGTAACAAATTGTTTACGTACCGATGGGTGTTCCAACAGGGATTCCATGCCACTGATCTGCCAATGTTCCAGCCACATCTCCACTTGGTATAACCTTGAAGTAAAAAATAAAGTTAAACTAAAACAGAATGCCTTGCTGGCCTCACATTTTCAAGTTTTTTGAACATCTTTTTTTAATGGAAAAACAAGCAACGCTCATTTACGTACAAGCACTCATAATGCAGCTTCAATCTAAAATGCTTGCACACACAAGCTAAAAGACTTAAACCATTAAGGTAGCTAAGATACCTACATAGTCCACCAAAGATTTCAACCATAAATCATTTCTATAAATTATTGAATTAAAACTAAATTATGTTCTGCAGGTCACAACTTGTAGATTGAATCCAAAGTTGACAATTTTTTCAATGGGTAACAAAAGGTAGGTTGTTACCTTAAACTATAATGAAAACAGCGCTTAACTCCGTTTTCAGTTTATTAAAAAGAAATTTTTTTTAAGTTAATTTCTTGTTTGATTTGTTATGGCTAAAGTTAATGTAAAGGATAAAAGAAGGATGAAGTATAAAGGAATTCTTTGGCATATCCTTAAGTGTACATAGGATCTTTACCACTAGGTTTCTAAATAAAAGTAGTTTACATAGCTAGCAAAGCAATCTATAGTTCTCGCCACCTTAGGTTGAGGAAGCCCAAACTGATTTGCAGGGCCATTATCTGTTGGTTCCGCACGACCCTTTTACAATCCCATTAGGCCGGCCGCACACAGATGCACCATTTCACCTGAAGCAAAACTTTCTGCGAATGCGCCAAATCACTTTTAACCAGTAAAGCTTAGTGGCTCTCAAAATTCAATTGACCTTTTGTTGTTTAAAAATAACTCATCTTTGAAAAATTAATTTTTAAGTTCCATTAAAACTTAAATTATGTTTTTAATTACCGTTGAATTGTTTAATTTTTCTTTCTACCATTTACATAGTCATACAGCCCATGCAAAGTAGTAAAATAATTGAAGAAATAATTAATATATTAATTTACTTGTTTACGTTGGTGACATCGATTTAACAAACATTTCTATTTTTGTCTCATCTTAAGGGACAATGTTTATGGTTTTTGAACTATAAAGAAAATACCAATTAACATAAGTATTTTAAACCGTAAACATTGTCCGTTTTAGATGGGAAAAAAAGAAGTGTTTGTTAAATTGATGTTGCCAAAGTAAACGAGTACGGTAAATTAATACATCAGAATATAATTTTAATTTTACTAAATTTTAATATTGTACTAAGGGCGGTCAAGGAAGTGTCGCTAATAGGATTCTAAAAGGGTCGAGCCGGTAATGGCCCTGCAGGTCAGTTTGGGCTGCCTCAAGTTAAGGTGGTGAGGAGTATAACCCATGATTGGCAATAGAAATCAGCTGATGCTAGTGACGCATAGCGTCATGCGGCTACATGGTGCATCAACCTAGATCGTGCGAGCCTTCCGTTCATCATTCCTCTTGGTCTGTCACTGATACCTTTTTACGATTCGCAGGCCCGTTTTTGACCATGTCAGCGCCCTAGGCACAACTAATAGTAGCGCCCCTTTGCAATATATAACAGGGTGACCACCAACCGGGAAATCCGGAAACTAAGCGTGAATTTTTTTGAACCAGGAATTATGTGTTAATTTTCTACCTGGAATTGTCAATTTACAACAGTGACTTTCCGTGACCACGGGAGACGGGAGGCAATAATATGTCTCCACAAGGCCTCGAGGGATGATCAGAACTTTGCCGCGATCGCATGAGATGATAATAATATCAAAACGACCGCGGGATATGATCATGATTTTACCGCGATCGCGCAATACGATAATGAGATCCACAGAGGATAATCAGAATATTGCCGCGATCGCATGATACGATGATAATGTCTAAACGACCATGGGATATGATCATGATTTTACCGCGATCGCGCGAGACTATGATAATGACTAAATGACCGTGGGATATGATCATGGTCCACACAACCACGGAAAACAGTCAGAAATTTTCCCCGATCGCGGAAGACGATAATGATATCCACATAACTGCGGGATATTATTAACATTTTGCCGTAATCGCGGGAGACAATTACGATGTCTTCACGACAGCGGGAGACGATTACGATGAATCACGACAGAGGGAGACGATTACGATGTCTTCACGACCGCGGGAGACAATTACGATGTCTTCACGATCGCGCAGAGACGATTACGATGTCTTCACGACCGCGGGAGACGATTACGATGTCTTCACGATCGCGCGGAGACGATTACGATGTCTTCACGATCGCACGGAGACGATTACGATGTCTTCACGACCGAGGGAGACGATTATATGATGTCTTCACGACAGCGGGGGACGATTGCGATGTCTACAGGATCGCGGGAGTTACAATAATGATGTCTACTCTACACGGCTGCGAGGGATGGTCAGAATTTTACCGCAATCGCGTAAGACGATGATAATGTCCACTCAACCACGGGAAAAATCAGAAATTTGCCTCATTCGTGAAAGGCGATGATGATCTCCAAACAACCGCGGGAGATGATTACCATTTGCCGCAATGGCGGGAGAGGATGACAATGCCTCACGACCATGGGAGGCGATGATGTCTTCATGGCTGTGAGGGATTATAAGAATTTTATCGTGATCACGCAAGAAGATGATAACGTCCACACGACCCCGGGAAAAGATTACAATTTTGCCTCATTCGCGGTAGACGGTGATAATCTCATCACGACCGCGGGATGTGTTCATATATTGCCGCGATCAAGGAAGACGATAATTATGTCCACACATCCGCTGGAAATAGTCAGAACTTTGACGCGATCGCGGGAGACGGACGATGACGACGTATATACAACCGCAGTAAATAATTAACATCTTGCCGCAATTGTGGGAGACTGTTAAGGTGTCTTCACGGCCGCAAGCGATTATCAGTTTACCGCGATCGCATGCAAAAACGGCCACAATTTTTTTTCTTTTTTCCAATTTTTTGGCGCCCCCAAAAAAAGCAAATTGCCCCGCGCCCTAGGCACGTGCCTACCTTGCCTATTCGGTAAATCGGCCCTGACGATTCGCAAGAAAAAAAACGTTTTTGCAAGATGCCTGATCTCCATTTAGACGAGTCAAAATAAGAAAATTTATTGCACAACCTTAAAAAAATTGCTACAAATGATTTTGTATCGTTAATTTAATCTAATTGGTATATTAAAAAACATAGTAAAAGTCTAGGAAAATCGGAATCCCGGAAGTGGGTTATTTTCAAGATAGCGCCTAAATTTGCCAGAAAGTACAGATTTTAAAAGTTATTATTGTATAAAAGGCACATTTCTTATCAGATTGTTTTAAAATTTGGTTTAAATGTAAACAAAACAAATAATTTAGTACATTGAAGCGTTATTACTAATGGAGAGGTTGCGTTTAGCCTAATGGTTACGGACAAAATTTAAAAAAATCTTAAATTTAAATTCCCATGTTATTCTTATGGAGAATAAGTCAACTGTTGTAGTTTGCTTGCTTATGAACATATTTTGATCAAATTTGGAAAATACATTCATTTGTTACTAAACTACAGTATTAACAATTTTCAACAAAAAAGACATTTTTACCCTCCCTGTTGCAGCAAACCTAAGTACTTGTTAAATCAATTCTATTTAAATAGGGAATAAATGTGATGTTTTTAAGGAGTCAATTTAGTTTAAATCCAATCAGGCAAATGGAAATTCGCTAAGTCTGCCGGTTTGCTGCGGCGGGAGTATTTAAATGTGTATTATTGCTTTAAATTAGTTTTCATTCCGTTAGAGTATAATTTTAGTGGATAATTATTATTCATGTATTCCTTTGTTCTCTCGTATCAAAAACTGACTAGGCCTGGTGCTCTTATGCAATTTTCTGTATATTATGGCTGATAACGATTTTCAGCCTGCTTGCCCCATTTTTACAAACAACTAATCGTTAAATACGAAGTGGTTGAAATCAGACAAAAAAGTGCGTCAATATGTCCACCGAATGGTGGAATAAACGCGGCTAGTGTTCGAAGAGGGGACACCATAGTAGAGGTCCCTGGAAATAAGGTGCATACAAGTTGTCGTAAGATATACATTAAAAAAAAAGAGATAGAGCTACACTTGAAGCGAAAACTTGAAGGTTAAAGTAAAAAGCAATAATTGAAGCAGCAGCAATATTCACAATACCCCCGCCGCAGCAAACCTGCAGACTAAGCGAATTTCCATTAACCTGATTGGATTTACACTAAAATGCCTTCATAAAAATAGCACATTTATTTCCTATTTAAGTAGAATTAGTTTAACGAGTACTTAGGTTTGCTGCAACAGGGAGGGTAAAAAAGATTTTTTTATAAAATGATAATAGTTTAGTCAAAGTATTTTCCAAAATCAATCAAAATATGTTCATAAACAAGCAAACTACAACAGTTGACTTATTCTCCATAAGAATAACATGGGAATTTTAAAATTACAATTTTTTTTAATTTTCTCCGTAACAATTAGGCGCATAATAACGCTTCAATATACTAAATTATTTGTTTTTTAAGCTCTACAAAATGGTTTAAAAAGAAATTGTGAAATTTTGTGTTTTTAGGGTCAAAAATGGGAAAAACCTATTTTTACCCCATAAAACCCCCCATAAACCCCCGTTCCCATAGTCCGATCATGCTGGTTCGCGAACTCAATCAAGTTTGTCCCGCCTTACACCTTCAAACTAAATTTTATCAAAATCGGACAAAAATTACTCAAGTTATCGTGCGGATGGACATATATATATATATATATATATATATATATAGATATATAAAAATTTGAACGAATGGTGTTTTTGGCCTCTGGGGACATCAAAATGAAAAAGTAAATCGGTCCCGGGCTTAGGTCTTACCATGAGACCTACGGTAATAGCTACTTCCCTATAGGGAAATTCGCTAAAAAGTGGCATTAACACGTTCGCTGCTACGGACGTTCCGGAACGTCAGCCGGGCCACGGCGCCAGGAGCTAAGAACGTTCCAGAACGTCACCGTTCAATGTTGTTTAACGTTGCTATGGATAAGCCAGCACGTCACAAGCATTCTATATTTCTTTGCAGCTCGTGGGGACGTACTTTTCTGACAATAAAAAATATAGTTTCCCAAATCACCACCAGGGTCGTTTGGAACAGGGCTTTGTTTTACCTCTTTCCTGCTAGATAGCGACACTACTTTACCGACTGTAACCTGGGTAGTGCTGCTATCTATCAGAATCCCTTAGTACTATATCCAAAGCCAGTTTTATTGCAGAACATTGCCATCCAGTATAACTACTGTTGTTTTTACTGTAATTCAGTGTATCGGTGGCAATGTCACGCAGCGGCCGAGCGTAGTTCAGCAACTGGCGCCGTCCCGGCATCTAGCGCTCAGCAGCGAACGTGTTAAGAGAAAGGTACAATCATATACAATAATATAGAGAAAACCCCCACCACAGATGACATTAATGTTCAGTCGGCTTTAAATTACATACCTGAATCACTTAGAATTTTATAATAAACAACGTTTGTTGGAAAAGACAACCATCAAAAGGTTGCTGGCATCGGTCAGTCGATTATTCAGGAAGTCCGCAAACGAGCGCTAGTTGATCATTTACAATTATCCCTTTCTGTACAAATGCATAATTTATTTAAGACCAGATTTCTAATTAGACACTTTATATAAATTGGAGTTCTGCTCGTCGTATAGTGAAGTGCAAAGATTTGGAAAAAAATGCTACTAATGTTATTGCCCCAAACACGAGAATAGCACTGAAATAAAATATTCAGCTTTGTTATTAGCAGCAGACAATGTTGACCACAATATTTCAACTCTCGGTGTAAAAGTAACGTTTCATGGAATGGAAATGATAGCTGTCATGGCACCAGGCAAGACCACACTAGTGTAGCCTTGCACCAGGACAAAAGACAGTCTTTAATATAGCAAGGCGTCATTAAGCTGAGTTGAATATTGCTGTATTATCGAAAGTGCCGATATTTGTTTAATCTTCAGAAAACAATAATAAGTATATTCATAAAACATAAGTTTTACAGAGCCCCTAATTTTCCCTGAATGTAACAAGAAGATTGATATTTTTTGGGAACTGTCGTTCAAATTGGCTACTCTAGGATGGCATGGTTTGATGCACACTATTTGTAAAGGAAATGGATACCCAGGAAAATCGTCTGTCAGGTATTTGCCAATGACAGATATGTACTCTGCAGACAAATGATGTATTCTTTCCACAGTGAAATTCCCGTGTGTTTCTAGAAAATGTCAAAAGGGGACCTTACCTTACAATCATGTAGTATTTACCACTCCGAACCAGACCACAGAGCTCATTGATGGCCTTGGTTGTAAGACCAAGTCCATTTTATATGATGGTAAATGTAATGGTTTCATAGGAAAATTGCGATACGATATATTCAGCAAAAAGGTCGTTACCACTTCTTAATTCGTAATCACCTCCGCCGACTGAATGTGCCTCAAAACTGCATTGTCGCAGAGGGTATTACCAGATTCTGGTATGGATGGGAAAGGAAAAGTCCTTTAAAGTGGGACTGGAAGATCCAGAACGACCGATTCTACTCAATAATTACAACAAAGAGTGCTGCACCAGAGAGTCTGTTGAAGGTCATTCATTGTAACTGTTCTACCAATTGTAAAACCTTAAGATGTTCCTGTAGAAAGTATGGCCTTCCTTGCACAACAGCCTGTGGTCCATGCCAATTTGAAGAGCGTGACAATGTGCAGAACAATTCATGTTCGATAGAGTTAGATGAAGACGAAGACGGTTGAACAAGTTTTAACAAGCAGCCCATTTACTATATTAACATTGTAATGAATTGTATATTTGTTAGAATATTTATGTTAATAAAGTTTAAATGTCTTCTTGCACATTGTGTACATCATTTTGTGGTGTTAAATGGTTATTTTGATTGAAAATCGAAGATATGTGTTAACAAATATTCAAGATACCTTGATTTACTTATTTTTACAGGAATCTTAGACGCCATCTTGGAAATTACCCTTTCCGGATGCCCGATTTTCCTAGACTTTTATATTTCCATTGACAGGTATCTATTAAAGTAAAATTCAACAAAAAATCATTTGTAGCAATTTTTTTGGGGTGTTTGCATAAGTTTACTCGACTAATTTGACAACTCGACATTGTCAGCAAGTAATTTAGGAATCATCCCAACTTGCATTAGGTCCACAGATAAGTGTTTAAGTGTAAGAAGCTAATCAAATAAGTGTATTTTAAGTGTAGGAAGCTAATTAAATAAATGTATTTTAAGTGTAGGAAGCTAATTAAAGGTTGGTTACACTCAATCTCAAATCAACATGTGTTTTAGTTCAACCATATTTTCTATAGATTAGATTGGAAGGTTTCCAATATTAGCAATAAATTAATAATTGTAATCAAATCTGGCTTGGCCTGCTTTCTGGTCTGGGTAAAAGATCTCCGTCCTCTGGTCCCTAGCTAGGTTCCCAATTTGGTTATCTCAATCAATTTTGATAACAATAAACATAGGTTAGGGCTCAGACAGGCTAGGGTCTGATTTCCAGGCTCTGGTACACCATCTTACAAATCAACCACAGAGCCAGAGAGAGCCTGCTCTGTACATGTGGTGTCACAATGTGTGTTGTGTTAGCACAATTCAATACATACACCACAATGTACATACTAGCAGTGGAAGCCAGTTGAGTCGAGCGATATTGTTTCATAGTCTTTAATAAAGCAATAAATAAAAACAATGTTCATAGATATTTTATATATATTGTCAGCCAATAATCATAATAAATATTGATGAATAACTACTAAGTCTTACGCTTTTTCCAGTCCTTACCTCAGGCAACAGACTGGTGGGAAAGCCAGCTCCCTCCAGCAGTTCAGAGTTCCAACTGTGATCTTCTGTGTTGAAGTAGCCCCAAGATGCAGCGTTCTGCACGGACATCACAGGGCGCTTCAGATTGGCCAACATAGCAACCATGAAGTCCTGCACTGTCCCCGCACAGTTGAATCTTTCAAGCTTTTCTGGCCTATTCACCAAACAATTTTATTACAGTAGAGACCTAGAGGTTGTCAAATTAACACATGCACTCATGTCTTCATACGTACTGACATCTACAAGGGTGCACTCAAACCTCCCTGTCAGGTCCTTACCTCGTTGTTAGCAGATCTGATAATACTGCAGTTGTTATGATTTGAGGCAATGAAGTAACCGTTTCAATGGGTCGACTTAAACAAGTCTATTCACTAAAACCTGACCACGGTGATTCCAGCATTTCTAGAGCCACCGACACTACTACCCCTTCCTTAGGTCATGCTGACAATCAACTCAAGGCAATTTGATACCAAAGCCTATTTTGAGGACTACATGCTTTGGACAATTGGACATCAAGTGAATTTTCAGTACGGTTCCAGGATTAAGATTTTTTTCTTAGTTGATTCTTCGTGGTTCAATCACTGGCAGGGGGTGTTGTGTCTGCCTGTATATAAATTTTTATTTCACATTTGTTATTTATTGATTTAATTTTGGTTTTAATTGTTTATTTGTTTTACAACATAACACAATCATTGTTATCACTTTAATTTTTGAGTTTTCAACTTCACTGTCTACAAGGAGTTAACAGACTTAAGTGAATTGTGGCCATACATTTACATGTTTATAAACAAAATCTAAGATGGTATGTTACGGATACAATTTAACTTGCAATGTCATCAGACTACCCTGTTATGTGTTGTACAAATGATGAATGGTTAAATTTAGATTTCAAGTGCACAATTTAGTTTATTATAGTTTTTTTTTTTTTTTTTTTAAAAAAGGTTGGCGGCCTCTTTTAACCTTGCATTTGCCCGTCCACATAGACTACAGATCTGTGCGTGGAACGTATCCAGCAAAGCAAGGGGTGAGCCGGTACAGTACAAAGGTGAACTGTACTGATAAAAGTTAGTGGCAGTGACCAGAATCCGAACCCACGACACTTCTGCCTTGGGCCCGAAGTCCGCGACGCTACCGACTGAGCCACCGACTCACCCAAGAAAAGACTCACCAGTTGAAAAGATTCCATTTACCTAGTAGTTTAATACTCACAAAATCTGTTGACTTACCTATTTTTAGCAATCCAGAATAGTGTATTGCATCCATAACCTGAGTAAGCTCTGAGGTGTGAGTCAGGTTTAGGAAGAGAAGACAAAAAATCAGGATCACATCTGAAACAGTTGTAATATTCACTATGGGACTACTTGAAAAAGTGGCTCAGGTAAGCGAATAACTCAAATGATGAATAAAGATGCATGTTGGATGAATGAGATCCTTTCCCATATAGCACATAACATCAATTTGACGTAAAAATTAAGTTAAAGACGTCAAATTGATGTCCTGATCAAATTGTAGACGTCATATTGACGTCAAATTGTGGTCAGTTTTTGTATCACATATTTCAATAAAAAAAAAATTTGTTTCCTTTATTTTTAATGATGAAATATTAATACTATAATGTCCATGGTCTGGCTCCTTTTGGACGAGAGGGTCCAACTTCTGTCCCTGAGCCTAGTGTCATCTGGAACTGATACTCACTATCGAGGACATCTCCATCATCAAATTTTTGGTTAGACTAACTATCTGCTAATCTTTAGTACATTTGCAAAAATCAAGTACAAAATTTTCTGTGGGGCAGTTGAATAAAGCAAGAGAACTTTCTTTCTGACAAGAAAAACAAGACTAGCCTCTGTACAATCATTGACTATATGTGAAGATGATGAGGAAGAAGACAATGAAAAAGGATGTTAATCCTGTTCTATGAAACAGAGATCAATCTTTATCATAACATGAATTTGTGATGTATTTTCAGTGGCAAGAACTAGAATATTCAATTATAGAACTAATGTTACCTTAGCCTTTGTTCTTGCAAGAACAAAGGCTCAGTCAACATTAATTCAATAATTAAATATGAATTTATTTTGTATGTTTTAATTGTTTTAGCTTGGATCATCGTAATAAATAGATAACCTTTTTATTTTGTCAAATTGTTATTTACATAACTATTACCAATTTTTACCTTAAATATACTTATATTTTATCTAAAAAAACTATCAGAAACCATACAAATCGTGCAAATAAAAAAATCAAAACTTGGCGACTATTTGTGTAATTCCTGATTTTCTCTTTTAATCTTAAAAACGCTGTAACTTTATACCTACATCTTATCTATTTACATATTTGTATATATTATTGAAGTAAATTTAATTCTCTACAACCTTCTTTCCGTCAATATTTCTGAAAAATAACAAGGAAGGAGAAAAAATAAGATTTTAGTATATATTATTGAAGTAAATTTAATTCTCTACAACCTTCTTTCCGTCAATATTTCTGAAAAATAACAAGGAAGGAGAAAAAATAAGATTTTAACAAAAAATGTGAGGTGAAAATCTTTTTTCGAACATTATATTTTTTTTGAGCGCGGATATCTCAGAAACTGTGCGTTTTTCACTAATAATGTATACGATCAAAGTTGTAGCAAATTTAATAAGCTTTAACTTTTACATGGAAGAATTTAATCTACGACACACCGTTTTCAGGTTATAAGCAAAAAACCGCAAACTAGGGCATTTACACCTCCCACCACCAGAGAGCGGCAGGGTGATTTTATTCTCACCTATCCCAATCATATATTCATTAGGGGACCCTCCCCGACACATTTTTGAAAAAAATTGGGAATACATAGATTTGTTCCTCTATTTTTCCTAATTTGGACTTATTTGCTTGAACTAAGTCCATGGAAGCCAAAGGCCATCTAGTATTTGCCCGCCATAAGAGCAATGTTAATTTTGTCATTTTCAAACAGCTGCTGAAGAGCTATTTACCACCTTAAAATATTTTATCACATGCTAAAGTGATTGTAATTTAAATTAGTATACTGTGAGATTATAAATTTGCTTTGTAGTTTTTTTTTTATTGTTTAATGAGTTAGAACGTCTAGGCTCCAAGGACTCTAAAGATCAGTTGAAGAGTTATGAAATAACTTTCTATAGAGTAAAGATCTTGCTTTGATTCTGAAAAATATTACAAATATAAATGCTTCACAACTAACTCATTAAAAACCTAGACTTTTCCAGGTTTCTAGAAAAGCTAAAGCCGAGCTCTGAAATATTCGACCACTAGTCCTCCCACACCATTTAGTAAAAACCAACCTTGAGTCCTGCCAGGTATAAAGGTTGGACACCTGGGTAGGGACAATGTCATAGCGAGAACTCTCTATGTCTGCTCTCTCCCAGGGAGCTGAGGTGTCATAGTGCCACAACATGACCCCATGCATTTGTCCACAGATTCCAATAATCTCCACCTATCACACATATAAAACCATGTAAAGGTTGCACAAATAAGTGTGCTTCAGAGTTTACTGAAAATAAAATAGCACATACTGAACATAAAAATCTTTTCTATTTATGAAATGTTTAATATATATATTTTTTTTTTAATAGCGTCAAGTTATTCACTATTTGCCTATGTCTACGATCAAATTAGTTTTAAAGTTTATTCAGTAGTAACATTGTGCTGAATAATTTGGGGTGTATAAAAATCAGATGTTAGTAATTCACATTGTACAGAATAATTGATGTTATTTACATAAATTTATAGTTGGCTGAGAGCCAGTAATTCAGAGTTCACCTGGCGCAGCAGTTCCTTGGGTAGCCGAGAGACACAGATGTGAACTGCTGACATGATCTTGGGCACATTCTGCTTGTTGCCCTCACACCCCAGCTCACTAGGTACATTGGCCTGGGTATCCTTTGTCTGGCGTGCCACCACCTGCAATTCATTCTTTAACTACCAGTTTTTTGGGGAAAAACCAAACCGCGAGAATTAATTGAATATTTCAGTTATGTTTCATTGGTTGTGACACAACAATTTCACTGCGATTGTCTGACAACATTGTGACATCTTTGATATTGCGAAGAAAGTACCAGATTTCGCCATGATCTAAGGAGACAGCGTTATGTATTAATGATTTTGCCTGTATCAGGAATAAATTTGGGAATGTCTAAAAGACTGCAGTAGATATCCAGGATTTTGCTGTGACAGCAGGCGATGATTATGATGTCCACGCGATTGCGGGATACAATAGTTTTGTCTTCGCAATCACGATGGATGTTCAACATTTTGGCCACGATTGCAGACAATGATATTATCTTCGAGATCTTGGCAGATGTTTTAACATTTTACTGCGATTGCTGGAGACATAATGTCTTTACTAACGCACAGGAATTTATATGATTTTGCAACAATTGGAGGAGACGATAATGACACCTTGACAATCACCAAGATTTGGTTACGAATTACGATGATACATTATTTTCATTTACATTACATAAATGCACACTTAAACAAAATCCATAACAGCTTTTCTATTAGAACAAGACAGTTAATCATTACATATTATGATGGAGTGTTTAGGAATAAATCATAACTAGTTTCAAGGATAACTGCAAACATTTCTCAGTGATTGGTGAAACTAGAATTTTACTAGCAATAATCCCTGTAACAAAATAAATGGTATTAGCAATCTGACACGTACTTTCTCTTATTAGCTAGTTAACAACCTTTATCATGGATATCGGTGGGAGTAACGTTGATATTTTATTGTTGGGAAATCACAAAAGCTGTAATAACTTTTGAACCGTATTTTTTACAGCAATGGGGGTTTGCACTATATCTTTACAATTATAAGGACCATAACATACTAATTTGAATCAAAACCGGTTTTTTCTCAAAAATATGATTTTACGTTATTTTATGCGGTTTTTAATGGAAAATAACCTTAGTTACAATATCTTTTGAACCGTAATTTTACGGAAATGGGATTGGTGCCATTTTGTTCAGGATTTAAAGGACTATAACATACTAAATTTTTATCAAAATTGTTCAGGTCATTTTTGAGAAAATCTTTTTTTTCCGTTATTTTATGGGTTTGATGGGAAAATCACCATTAAAAATCAAGATTAAAAAAATTAAAAAAGCCTGGAGATACTATGGACCTACATACCAAATTTCGTCAAAATCGGACCACAGGTGTGGTTTGTAGCTTTTGTACACATCCACATGCAATGACAGACACACACACAACTTTTTTGGGTTCAGGGGTGCCCAAAACGGATATATCCACTCAAAACCCAAACTCAAAAATTTTGACAAAAACAATGTAAAGGGGGATAAAGTAAAAAGGGTTAATATAGCATCACCAACAGTAAACTTTACAGAAAGAAAGTGATCTTTAGTGGTTTAGGCTGAAATATAAGTAGGTGGTCATTTTATTTATTAACCGAAAATAAATGAAAAAAAAAACAATAAAACAAAAAACAAGCTGTAACACCAAACTGAGTAGAATTGCAACCGACACATCACTAAATTAAATAGCCTAAGCCTAGACTAATATAGAAAGGCACAATAAATACATAAACTGAGAAATGCACAAGGTAAATATTTTAGAAAATAAAAATGAGGAGGAAAGACAGAAAAACAAAGCAAATGAAGCATTGAACATACTCAAATCATATCATCTAATCATTGATCTTGTGAGGTACTGACCTTGCCCTCAGTCCAGTCCACCAGGCAAACCTTGACAGACGTGGTGCCAATGTCAAGCCCGAGGATGATTCTCTGGTCAGTCCCAGTGCTCATATTATAGCCCTGTACCAAAAAACAACTCAACATTTCGCCAATCTTTAGAAACAAGTATTTATTCTACAAACTAGTTTGTCTCCAACAGGGCAGTGAAAAGGAAATTTATTACAGAATTTTAACCAAGCCAATCACTCACATATTTTCAAGCTTATTTTTTGATAGTTGAAAAAAAATTAATAGTTGATTTATGTGATAATGCCGTGACCCCCTTGGACTAGCTTGAAGCAATGCGTTAAACAGTTCCAGGCTAGAACCGTCCTAGAATGTAAAGGTGGGACATAAAAAAACTACTGTACAACTAATATTGTACTTCCGTTTTTTATAAAAATCAAATTGAAAACCCATGATTACTGTAATCAGCAGTTTTACTATTTATATACCTAAATAGAAGCTTAAACAATACCTAACAGTAATTGAGTTTCGTTTTCAATCTAGAAATCATTTACTTAAATGAATATAAACTAAAATTAGTTTATGATATTATAATAATTATTGTTAGTGTTAAATAAGAAAGCTGAAGGAAGATATGTTATTTACAGGTAAGGTCAGACTAACCCATTCCTAAACAATGAAAATAGATTGTGTACCCTTTCATAATAAACTGTTGGATTGGGAAATAAGCAAACTTGAGATCTTGTTTAGAAAACCATAAACAAGAAATCATCAGAGCTTTTCCTAATGTTTAAAGACTCTATCTACAAACAAATAGATCCTCTAAACTAAGGGAATGGGTTGTAGATTTAAATTACTCGTAACTCATTGATGACCTTAGAAGAATGTTACGTGTATGTGGGTATAAAAATAAATATCCAACTATAAATAAATAAACATTAGCAGATTAAACTTTTCTTTAAAAACATCCTAGTTAAAGTTAGACGACACCATGTGATTCTTATAATTTCTCTATTTAAATCTGATGATGGTAGGAGTGTTCAATACAACATTATCCCCATTTAAAACCTGATTATGTGTTTGACATCTTGTATATGTATTCAGTATACGTCTAATGGTAAGACCTAGACCCGGGACCAGTTTAATTTTTTGTTTTGATGTCTCCAGAGGCCAAAAACACCATCCATTCAAAATCATCATATCTACATATTATGTGTCTGTTAGCAATAGCACGATAACTTGAGTAAAAATGATCCAATTTTGACAGAATTCGGTACAAGCATGAAAAATTAATAATATAAACTTAAATTTTGATTCTAACGAGTTCCCAACACCAGCATGTTCCAACCTCAATCGGGGTATCACTGATTATAAATTGGCTTTTATTCCCATTTTTGTCTCCCAAAACACTCCATTATTGTTGAAGATGCATTAATGCAACTTTGCAGTTAAATTGACTGATCTATGATTTGAAAAACTATTTTTTATGATATCAACACCTAATTTAGGTAATTTAGACTCTAGGCGAGTAATTAATTGATTTTTAGGGAATTTCTCATATACCTCATCTTACCTTACTAATAATATTATAAATGTGAAAGTTTGTGTGTTTGTTTGCTTGTTTGTTTGAAGTTTAATCACACATTAACAACTGGACGGATTGGGCTTAAATTTGGCAAGATGATAGCTCACATTCCAGATTTAACATATAGGCCTATTCTTACCTCAAAAATCCTTTCGGGCTTCGCCCCAGCAGCTCTGTAGTTCTTCATGTTAACCTTATGAGTATTCATATTTAAAAGGAATTAAAGAATTTGGTCAGCTTTTTCAACTTATATAAAAGTTAAAAGGTTTACCAACAGAGTCCTTCAACTGGCCACTCCAATTGTGCACCCTCGCTACTAGTTGCGAGCCCACGCAACTAACGAGCGAGTGGCCACACATAATAAGGCTCTAAGCAGCAACAAAAAGCTGTGATACACAAAGAGACCTGTCAAAGTAGGATTGTTTACAGTTATGTTTATGGTTTTAATTTAATGAATAATTTGTGATACCATTGTGTGAATGTTTGATCATTTATTTTTTCTATTGTTTAGGTGCAGTGGTAGAACATTATTTATATGGTAGATGTGTTATACTGTACTATAGCATACCGTAAATTTAAAGAACAAAATTTTATCAAACTGTGTCCACCCCATTGCAAACGCAAATCTTGAGTATAACCGCAATAAGTAATAATGCCAACTCCGTACGAAGGATGGGTACTCTGCTAGTATATATATATATACTAGCAGAGTACCCATATATATATATATACTAGCTGTAACCCACGGGCTTTGCCCCGTTTAACTTCTTAATTTTCAAGATTATCTCGTTCGCATGGCTCAATCACGTCCTTGTTGAAGTTTGTTCGCTACGCTCACTCACCTTTAGGTTGGAGCTCGTTCGCTACGCTCACTCACCTTTAGGTTGGAGCTCATTCGCTGCGCTCACTTGCCTTCAGTTTAGCTCGTTCGCTGCGCTCACTTGCCTTCAGTTTAGCTCGTTCGCTTCGCTAACTCGCCTCCAGGTTGAAGTTCGTTCGCTACGCTCACTCACCTTTTGGTTGCAAATTAGCTGTTGTCATAAATGTAAAAGAAATAATAGTGCTGCACCCTGTTGGTAATCCTTGTAACTTTAATGCTATTGAACATCATAGAACAGGACCAACTTGTTTAATTGAAACAGCTGTTAAGATTCAATAATTCCATTTCTCATTAGGTTAACATGGGAAACTCCAGAGCCACTGGGGCGGAGCCCGAAAGGATTTTTGAAATAAGAATATGCCTATATGTTAATCGGGAATGTCAGCTATCATCATGCCAAATTTCAGCCCAATCCGACCAGTATTTTTCGCGTTCACTTGTCACAAACATACATCCATACATCCATATATCCATACATCCAAACTTTCTCATTTATAATATTAGTAGGATATATATTATTTATTTTATATATATATACTTTATGTATATATATATTTTCCCCATATCTCACATACATTATTCAAACTAGATTGCGAAACAGTATAGAATGGGATTTTATGTGGTAAAATTTTAATTGGGTTTTCCCATTTTTGGACCCCAAAAACATTCAATTTTTCCCATTTCTTTCAAAATTGTTTGTAGAGCTTAAAAACAAATGATTCAGTATATTGAAGTGTTGCCATACACCTAATGGTTACAGAGAAAATTCTTAAACACTGTACAATTTTAATTCCTATGTTTTTCTTATGGATAATACCATTGACTATACATAAATTGTTGTAGTTTCCTCGTTTGGGATGTATTATTTTGATCAAATTTATTTAACAAATTTGTTTATTTCATACTAAGCTATTGACATTACAAAACAAAATTTACCTCTTTCTTTGTAGCAGTTAGCCAACACATTAAAATTAATGGTACAGTATTTATATAGGAAATTAGCCTGATGATTTTAAGGGATTATTTTAGTAAAAATCCAACCAGGTAAATGGAAATTTGCTTAGTCTGGAGGTTTGCTGCAGCGGGGGTATCTTAACTCTTAACTGCATTAGTCTTGATTCTAGATAAAAGTCAAATACACTAACATAAAAATATTGAGAAAGAGGTCAATGATTAATATGAAAAAGTACGCCTACTTACACAGGTTAAATGGATGTAAAAAGTAGGTAGTAAAGGATCAAACAAGCCGAATACAAGCCCTTAGCAACTTATCTTATCAACTTCAACCACATCAGGTGTCACATGATAAAACATCTGTTATCACTCCTGATAGGGGTATTCACAATCACTTAAAACTTTCCAGGTGTTAACAACAATATACAGTACTAAGCAAACGATTATTGCTCCTAAATTTTGAAGAAGACAAATCTTAACAGCCGTTGGAGAAACCCTGTAGATTAAAGAATAATCCACACAGGAACTCATTTTTTTTCAAAAGAATTAGGGTAAAACACACATTCAGTGATTGAGAATGGAGCGGAGTAATGCCATTCAGAGTGACAAAATCAAACCCATACAATCAAGTAACTATGCACACACAAACCACTGTTGTGTGCATAGCGTAGCATCACGGTTAACTTTGAAACAACAATCTCGTTTTTTTTTTTGCGTTTGGGAGTGGAGCGGGCAACAACCTTGTCATAAGTGAAGTCTACTCTAGTCACTGTACGAAGGTAAAGTGTAATGTTGTCAGTGATTTTACATTTATATCTCTTTTAAAGGCTGCATTACAAAATAAAAGAACAGGTCTGGAAACGATTGGGTGAGTTATTAGGAAGGTAAGAGCAGCTTACAATGGATGTGCTACCGGTATATATTAATAAAATAAATTCTTTCTCACCGTAGTTGAATCTCACCTCAAGAAAATGTTATAATCGCTTACCTAATACACCAGTCTTTTCCTCTGCACATATTGGTTTCTTCCAATTAATAATCTTTCTACTTCACCGAAGCTGCTTCAAGTTTTGAAAGAATGTAATCAAAGGTCTAGATAGGCATGCAAATGTATTGCACGAATTGTGATTCATGCTTCGTAAAGGGAGCGTTTCATAATCTCCAAATTCCACAAACTCCAACGATTATTTCACAAAGTCCAACGTTAATATATTAAATAAACAGAGCGTTTCATAATGTCCAAATTTCATTAGCTCCAAATCTATAACATTCAAATAATCACCGTTTCACAATGTCCAAATTTCACAAACTCCAACGTTTAAATACCAAATAAACAGAGCGGTTCATAATGTACAAATTTCATAATCTCCAACGGTACAGTCTGGGCCAGAAGTCTCTACAGTGGTTGCCACGGTCAGATAGCAGGCACCTGCTGCCGGCGCTCAACTACTGATTAATGGTGTGCATTTTAATGATTGAAGAACACTTAGCTGTGTGACTCAACTATGTGTTAACACATAATGTGCAAATCAAAAACATTTTTATATTTTTAATAGCTTTAATTCAAGCTTTCGGCCGAGTTTCTTAACTGTTCTGTCTCTCAATTAAAAATATAATTACAAATATCGTAAGAGATTTTTTTTACCGATGAAAAATTTTAAAACGTATAAATATGTTTTATAAGTATATTTTCTAATAGCTGCCAAAATGTCATGATGATTACATCATTATTTTTTAAATTTTTTTTTATAAAAAGTCAAAATAGCCCTTTGTTAGAAAAGTGCCGAAAACCTTGTACTTTATTAATTCTACCCACTGAAAGGATGAATTGAAACTACATAAAAAGGTAGAAACTAACATACATAAACGCAGAAATAAATTTTTATAAAAATAATTTAACTTATACATTATATTATTGTAAGTATACTGGTCACGTTTCAATAAAAGCTCAAACTCGAGTATTTACACTTTTTTACTCGACAGCAGTCACGTTTTCTCTTTGCAACTTAATGTGGCTAGTTCAATAATGTTAAAAGTTTTGACAAGACGATAATTTATATTTGGATTTGCCTTTTCAGTGGAGAGCTTAGCATTGTATACCTTTTATTTACCAAAAAAATGCGTAATCACAAACAGTGGAGTCTTTGACTTTTGTATAAAATATTAAGGTATGAAGTTGTTGTTGTTGTAACGATTATTACATATTCTTACGATTTTTACTTTTAAAATATGATTACCCATAATGTTAACATGGGAAACTCCACAGACAGGAGTCTGAAAGGATTTTTGTGATAAGAAAATGCCTATGTGTTAATCGGGAATATGTGCTATCATCATGTCAAATTTAAGACCTATCCGACCTGTAGTTGATGCGTGATTGGACTTCAAACAGACAAAAAAAACACGCAAATTTTCACATTGATAATATTAGTTAAGAAGTACAATTATATGAACGAGGCTTTAATTATCCATGTTGCGATATAAAAACTAAAGGCGGGACCACAAAAGTTTGCAGTTGAGGGAGGAGCCTATTTACCACGTGACTCTGAAGGAGCCAATGAGGACAATGTGCTGTTGCCAAATCTAATAATACCAGCTGATTTGAAAATATTGTTTAGGAATTTATTTAGTGTTGTCAATGGGCGATATGGCAACGTCGCACTAGCCTTGTCTTGTGATTGGCTACCGCCAACTGCAAACTTTCGTGGTCCCGACTGTATAATAACTTCATTCACGTTTAACTTCATTGAGATACAGTAGAACGTTCACTAGTGTTAGAGAATATCCGAGTAGGCCTAGGCTGACTACTAGGTTTGCTGGGGACAGTTGACCCTTCACTAGGGTTAGTTTTGTTATAAGTGTTACAAGTAATTTGTAGAGTAAGTAGGCTACCTGGTTGTAATAGATCGACATTAGTGGGCTGTTTATTCACATTTATCACAATAGAAGAGTGTTTGTTGTTGTTTACTAAGTTAGTTGATGGTTAGAATAACTAACCTCAAATATACACTATTGTTGACATTTGGCAGTTTGACACTGACAGACTCATCTAAAACAGTTTGGGCAACGTTCATGGACAAATTAAGTAGGCCTAGGCCTACGGCAGGGTCAGAGGTACCAACCAACAAACAAAGGCCTATCAGCTGACAACTATACAATAAATACATATTGTTCAGTAGGTATCAACAAATAATTACAAAAAATATTAACTTAGGCCTATATTGAAATGAAACTGTTCTAAGAAATAAACTAAGTTAACCAAACATAGCTTAAGTTAACAAACCAAACTTGTTGTAAGTCACCATTGTAAAATTCTGTTTGATATTCCGGTTGCACTTAAGTAGGCTATCTGCCCTAAATAAAAACAAAAAAAGTTGGATAAAGAAATTAGTTTTACTTTTGTCTAACAAAGCCCATGTTATGAGTACAATGAGAATTATTTGTTGTTGTTCAATAATAAACAGCACATGTTCTTAAAGAATATTAATACCAACTCAACTCACAGGCTCTCAGGTTTCAAATTTTTTTAAAATTTACCCTCAAACCTGGGAGGTTCAAAAGTTCCTTCAGTCGACTAGAAGGTAAACTCTTCGTCAAGAAGTCTGCCAACTGAAGTCTTCCAGGTACATGTTCCATTTTGTAACATCCTTTGTTCAAGTACTCTCTAACAAAGTGGAACCGAACACTGATGTGCTTCGTTTTTCCATGTGTTAAAGGATTGTGTGCTAATTGTACTGCACCAGCATTGTCAATGTACATAGTTGATTCGATCAAGGAACCACTGATTTCTTCTTACATATTACATGCTTAGCAGCTTCACTAGCAGCAACATATTCCGCTTCAGTAGTTGATAGTCAGATACAACTTTGTTTCTATGAAAACCAACTAATGGCTCCGCCAGCAAACAAACATAGACATCCTGAACGTGACTTTCTGCTGTTTTCATCACCTGCGAAGTCTGCATCGTAGTCCTTAGAACCTTGCAGGTAAAGAAGGATTCTCTTGACTTAGTTCCAGTCTTTGATGGTTGGACTAGTCACATGCTGTGCCACCATACTAACTGCATAGCAGATGTCTGGGCGAGTGTTTGTCAAATGTAGCAAACTGCCCACAGCTTCACGATACGGCACATCTGTTGATAGAGGCTTTGCATTTGTGTTGACATCAGATTTGTCAAATGGTGTTGACACTGCGTTACAGTTTGACATCCGATACCTTTCTAGAACTTGATCTAAGTATGCCCTCTGGCTGAGAACTATTCCATTACTTGTTTGAACAATCTCGATTCCAAGGTAAGTTTCAGGTTTTGATACTTTGATTTCAAAGTTTTGTTTCAAGTTCTGCACAAAAAAATTCACTTGTTTTTCACAAGTACCACATATAAGTCCATCGTCCACATAAATGATGACGAACATATTTTCGCCATTTCCTTCACGAAGGAACAAAGAAGGATCTGCTGTACTCGGTTTGAAATTTTGAGATTTCACGAACTCAGTAAGTCTTTTATTCCAACACTTAGGACTTTGCTTAAGGCCGTAAAAACTACGTTGTAGTTTCCATACTCTTCCGGAGTTGTCGTTATAGCCTTCAGGTTGCTCGACATAAACCTCTTCATCTAGCTTTGAATGTAAAAATGCTGTTTACACCAAATTGTTTAAAAAACATGCTTTCCTGTGCTGATATATTTAATACTGTCCTTAGAGTATCGAATCTTGCTACAGGACTGTAGGTGCTAAAATAATCTACTCCTTCTTTCTGAGCGTAGCCCTTTGCAACAAGTCTAGCTTTGTATCGATCTGGAGTTTTCTTCTTTGAAAGAACCCATCTTACTCCAATTGCTTTCTTGTTCTTGGGTAACGGTACGAGCTTGTAAACTTGGTGTTTTCGAAGAGATGCCATCTCATCATTCATAGCTGCCTGCCAATGAAACCACCCTTCACTACTAACGGCCTCATTATATGTTGGTCCAGCTTCAGCTACAAGAAAATAATCTTGAAGATAACTAGGTGGTTGCCTTTGCCTTCCCGGTCAATTTTCCTCTTCCGGTTGTTCACAATATTCAATTTCATCAGGTTCAGCTTCTTCATTTTCCCCTTGATAATTGATTGGCTGACTCTTGTCTTCGCATAGGATAGGAATGGACACGGTTTTGTCAAGTTCTTTGTCTTCATCAGGAACAGTCTTAGCCAAATCTTCTGTGATGCCCTCTGCTCTGACAACCTCTCCTTTCTGATAAGGTTTAAAGACAACATCTCTACTGACCACTATTGTGTGACTGTTGTAGACTCGAAATCCATCTCGTTAATCGCAATATACTCAACCAATTTTCCTGGAACTGATTTTGCTGACCATTTCTTCCGTTTCTGTTTTGGGATATGGACATAGCTTTCTGTAACCAACGGTCAAAAATGTTCAATTGGTGCTGGTCCTTTTCCATACCAAAGTTCATATTTTATTCTTCAAAAAAAGGCCATAAGAGTTTTAACTGATACTGCACCTCGTACTTCTTGTCGTCCTCTGTTTGTACATTTGAAACTATTTAACAATTCATGCTGTGTATATATATCAACTATGTATATTTGTTAAAAAACACTTGACCTCATTCTCATCAAAAAATCACCAACATCCATATAACACTCGACATAGACACTCTTCAGTTCCCTATCCATAGAACAGTTATTTATGAGAAAGCTCCTTTGTATATGGGTAGGAAGCTATTCAACCACCTCCCTAACCAAATCAAATCGACAGAAAAGATGGATGTTTTTAAAAAACTACTTACGGAACATTTGGAACTACTTTGTCCTGATGAATTTTTTTGTTAACTCTTTTTGTTATATTTTAATCTTCTGACCTATTTTTTAATATATTACTAACTACAATGAAATAAAATATATAATATCATGTATTTTGTTGTGAAAAACTGACGTGCCATATGTTTACTGGTGATGTATCACAATTATGTAAATTCTATGTGACAAATGAACATTTCATTTCATTTCATAAAGGTGTAGCCTACCTTCTGTACTTGTTGGTCCTGTCCGATTGATCACATGACACGCTGTGTTCATTGCCTCTGCCCATAAGCTCTTTGGCAATCTTTTTGAATACAACATGCTTCTTGCTGATTCAACTAACGTGCGCATTTGCCGTTCAATAGAACCATTTTCTTCTGGTGTATAAGGCATAACAGTTCTCATAGTCATGCCTCGTTTAGCGAGCAATTTCTTCACTGCAAAATTATTAAAATCAGTCCCACCATCACTCATAAACGTTTTTACCACATGTCCAGCAGTTTGACATTCATTCAAGTATGTCTCAATGCAGTCTGTAACCTCCGCCTTATTTTTGATGAAAAATACTCTACTGAATTTAGTAAAGTAGTCTTTGAAATCCAGGCAGTAGCGACTTCCTCCTAGAGAAACATTTTCCATAGGACCACAAAGATCTCCACTTACTATTTCTCCTGCAATTGTTGGCTTTACAGTCCAAGAAAGGTATGTAGCTCTGTGTTGCTTGCCTAGTACGCACCTTCACAAAATTCATCTTCTACCTTGACATGTATTCCCCTGCTTTTAAGAGTTTTTAACACATGTGTCTTATTTTTATGAGCCAGAGATTCATGCCACTCTTGGATGGTTTTCAGTTTACTACTACACACTGTTTCAGCTTCTACATGCGGCAACAGAACATCCATTTCAACTTCATAGAGTCCATTTACACAATGTCCATACAGCTGTGCAACGTTATTCTTCATGAAGACACATTTTTCTTTAGTTACCTACTTTGAAAGTAAATCTTTTCTTCACTGTTGTACTGACTGACATCAGGTTCCTTCCTAGCTTGGGAATGTACCATACATTCTCTAAAGTTGTGATGTATCGGTTCTTACCAATATTCACACTCGGATACTACCCTCTCCAACTGCCTAAATATCATCACCATTTCCCACAATGACTGAGCACTTTTTAATATTTGTGAAGTAAACCTCTGATATGTGTGAAAGAAGTTCCTCCGGAAACACATATTCTGCAATGCTCCAGAGTCTGCAATAAAGTTGTCTTTCCTGTGCTCCTTTGCTACAAAACACAAGAATGGACCACTGTTACCTTTTCCAGGCTCTGTTGTGTTTTTGTCTTCTTTTCTGATTTCTTTGGACACTGACTAGCATAGTGTGATCCCTTACAAATAAAACACTTTATTTTCTTCTTTACAGAATGCCTTTTGCCTTCTGAGAATGAACTTGTGATATTTCTACTAACCTGTAAGGCTTGTCCATTATCATTTAATTCATAGACCTAGGTAGCCTGGACTCAATCAGACGAATTCTCTCTATTAGCAAATCAACACTTCTGTCTTTCACTGGTATGCTTTCCCCCACACTCTTGGACTCAAAGAATTCTTTAGGTAGCCTAGTGTACTCATAATCCTTGACATGAACACAAGTTCTGGCAGTTCTGAAGCTTTATGCTTTTTAAGTTCATCATTCACTTCTCTGAAGTTCAACTGCAATCTTGAGATATATTTAATCAAATCTTCTCCATCAGTTATAGGTACTAGATGTAAAGAACTGTTCCATTGTTCTATCTAGTCTCTGACTTGATGATTGTTCATATATAGGTACTCAACAGCTTCTGCCACATTTCATGGCACTATCACAAGTAGCCGTTAATTCTACACATGAATCGTCTAGAGCAATTACAATAAAGTAGGCCTACCTGAGCTAAGGTGTCACCTTTCTTGAAATCCTTAAGCTTCTGCTCCTCTGTTTCTTCAGGCCTTGCCTTTTCACCAGTAATCAGATCACTAATTCCATGATGTCTCAAAACTAATTCCATCTGGCGTTTCCACCTTCTTCATAATTGAGAATTGCTTAGTTTTTCAACATTCACTCTTAAATCCATTCTTTTAATATTTTCTGTAGCCCATAACCAAATAAAAACAATAAAAGTTGGATAAAGAAATTAGTTTTATTTTATTTAACAAAGCCCAGGTTATGAGTAGAATGAGAATTATTTGTTGTTATTCAATAAAAAACAACACATGTTCTTAAAGAATATTAATACCAACTCAACTCACAGGCTCCAAAATTTTTTTTGCCCTGCACTCATTCGAATTAATATATCGATCGGTAGGCCTATATCGATTATTTCAGTTGATATTAAGTATCAAGTTTTGTTAGTTAGGTTAACATAGCATAACTAACCGAGAATGAAATAATACGTATATAGAATATTCTATATTTCGTTATTTTTCATTCCAATGAGTGTAGGACAGATTACTAAAGTGTAGCCAATATATTCCCCACATGCCTTTACGTCATCAAACAGAATTTAGGAATGGTACAGCAAGTTCGGTTGGTTTAGAACAGTTTCATTTCTTCCATAGGTATACATCATTTTTGCCTAAACAAGATCAGGGTAATACTGAACTTATACTACTTATGTTATATGGCATTTTTTCCTTATCTAACTTATCAAAATTAGACTAGGTTAAGCACTTTTTACCTTTGGCACTTTGGGGGAAACGCCTATTTCACCCAGTTTTTTTGTTGTTTTTTTTTTTTTTGTTGGAGTTCGGATAATTGGAGTTTCACTATTCAAATGTTATCTAATTATTTCCAACTAATGTGTGTTTATATCTAGGCTATATGCCTAGGCCTAGCCTACTACGCGTTTGTAAAAACTGTACAAAAATGTTATGAAATCCAATAGCCTATTCTTTTTGGTTTAAAAAGTAGCAATGGTTCGTTTTCCATGTAGCCTATATTTGATACACAAAAATATCGGGTACCGGTACACTTCCATATCTGTTGGCACAAACAACCGAATGAGAAATATTGATTATCAAATTGTTTAATTGATTATCAAATTGTTTAATTTGATATATCGTTTGGTTAGTTGGGTTAGGTTAACCTTACCTAACTAACCAAACGATATAGGTAGGTATCAAATAAACTTAATCGATATTTCGATCGATATTTTCATTCAGTTGTTTGTGCCAACAGATATGGAAGTGTACCCAAAATATCTAACTTAAGTTATATAACTTATTGAAAAAATTAATTGATAGGCCTTCCGGTATTAATTAATCTTCCAAATAGCCTAGGTAGTAGCTCAGTTAAAATGCAAAGTTGCCCTTATGTTAAACCATTAATAGGCTACATCTTTAACACTGATGGAGTGTTGCCATAAATTAAGCAAGATAAATTAACAAGTTAGTGTTTGAAGTCAGGTTCCAGCCTAGGCTAGTAATGATAGGCCTATCAAAATAACTTAAGATCTTTCATCTTTCTTACCTTTATTTCAAATCAGTGGAAGCAATTTAGTGTTCTAAGCTCTCCCCCACATCCACCTCTGGAGGACAAGTGCTACATTGCACGTGAATGCTGTCTATTATCATATTAAATGTAATTTAAAGTCACTGTCTATTGCTATTCATAGCTGAAGCACAGAATACAAATAGGCCTAAGTGGGATACCATAACCTCCACTCTCCACTCCACTACGAAAAGGGAAAAGTTTACAAAACAATTTCACGCTAGGTAGCCTACTAGCCTACAACTCCGATTCCTCCAGCAAATAAACTAACAACAACAAGAAAACAAAATATTAGTTAACAATGGACTTTGAACGTTTTTAGTCCATAATTTTTATCATTTTTCTCCCTCCCTCCCGCGACATCTTAACTTCGAGCGAGCGTCGTCTGCGCCTGTCGTCCTGTCACGTCACGTCGGCTGCTCCCGTCCGCACAATTTTTATTTCAGCTGCAGTTTTTTAATACAGACAAAATGAGAATTTAAAAATTAAAAATAAAAAATATTATAAAACTAAAAAAATTAAATTAATTTTAGCGAATTTCCCTATAGGGAAGTAAGCTATTACCGTAGGTGGCAAGGTAAGACCTAGACCCGGGACCGATTTACTTTTTCATTTTGATGTCCCCAGAGGCCAAAAACACCATTCGTTAAAATTTTTATATATGTATATATATAGATTTATATATATATATATATATGTGTCCGTGAACGCGATAACTTGAGTAATTTTTGTCCTATTTCGATGAAATTTGGTTTAAAGGTGTAAAGCAGGATAAACTTGTTCGCGAACCAGACTTGTGTGATCCTGGCAATAACTTGGCAATAAGAAGTGCGCGCGCCACAAAAAATCTATTGCTGGCCGTTTTGCGGCAAAATACGTCCGCGATGCATATTACCGATTATGCCAACAGATAGAAGACACTTTAACGGACACGACAGTATCAACATTATGTACCTGGGGAGTAGGATAAGGGGGGTAAAATCGGCAAAAAGTAGTGTGCGCGCCACAAAAAATCTATTGCTGGTTGTTTTGCGGCAAAATACGTCCGCGATGCATATTACCGATTATGCCAACAGATAGAGGACACTTTAACGGACACGACAGTATCAACATTATGTACCTGGGGAGTAGGATAAGGGGGGTAAAATCGGCAAAAAGTAGTGCGCGCGCCACAAAAAATCTATTGCTGGCCGTTTTGCGGCAAAATAAGTCCGCGATGCATATTACCAATTATGCCAACAGATAGAGGATACTTTAACGGACACGACAGTATCAACATTATGTACCTGGGGACTAGGATAAGGGGGGTAAAATCGGCAAAAAGTAGTGCGCGCGCCACAAAAAATCTATTGCTGGCCGTTTTGCGGCAAAATACGTCCGCGATGCATATTACCGATTATGCCAACAGATAGAAGACAATTTAACGGACACGACAGTATCAACATTATGTACCTGGGGAGTAGGATAAGGGGGGTAAAATCGGCAAAAAGTAGTGTGCGCGCCACAAAAAAATCTATTGCTGGTTGTTTTGCGGCAAAATACGTCCGCGATGCATATTACCGATTACGCCAACAGATAGAGGACACTTTAATGGACACGACAGTATCAACATTATGTACCTGGGGACTGGGCCTGACCTTGGCGGTGTAAGAGAATCGGTCGTCAATCGTCACCCATCCAAACCAGCCAACCGTGCTGTAAGGGAAAGTGGTAGCTATAAAGGTGGCAACCCTCATCCCTCGTGGCTGGGTTGTCAGGGTTGCCACCTGTGGTTATGTTAAAGGCACGATGGTCCCGCCGCGTCACCCTATCACTTACATTGGCGGCGAAGGTGCTTACGGGTGGCAACCCTGATATATCCGGTACATCATCGTTGTCGTTGTCCAGTGTCCACCAGTCCACGTTTTCGTTGCCAGCCATAGCCATTACAGGAGAGTGCTGTGCTGTGCTGAGCTGACGAGGTAAGCCATGCAAGTTATGTTATTAGAGAAAGTCGTTAAAGTCACCCTAGTTTTAGTTCCCTAAATTTGAAGTAGGTAGTAATTTATGTTGTACTACTATTACTAGGTTACTGGTAATAACTTATTTAAATTGTTTGTCAAATTAGGGGTTTTTTTAAATTGGGATTGAAGGGCTCGGTTACAGGCATGTTACAAGTTGTTAGTATAAGCTCAGATTAGTAATATCTAATCTGAGTGTAATAATTAGATAATAATAATAATAATAATAATAATAAAGCTATAAACAAACATTTGTCGTACTAAATAAATACCTAAAGTTCATTTTAATCTATTAACTTAGGTAGATCCTAACTTAAACGAAGTGCTGCCATTCACATTGGGTAGGGCTGACAAGGATCAAGAAGTAGGTAGTTTGACCAGCAGGGTACAAGAGGTTTGAAGGGCTTCCCTGCAAAAGGGGGACTTTGGAAAATTTTGATTAAAAATTAATTACTTGTACTGTTTTTCCTTTATTTAATTATCATTACATCTATTCATTTATTTATCTTTTTTGAAATATCCATCAAAATCAAAGGTGGGCCTGGCCTACCCTCTCTAGCTGTCCCTGTTAGAGCAAAAGTTACATTAGTAGGCCCAGACATACTTTAGAAATGTGAAAACTTTTCAGCAAGGACATAACATATTGAACTTAAAGTGAAGACTAAGTTTGGAAAATATTATTTTCACAGATGCCTAACAAAAAGTTAAACTTAACGGCTGCGTCCACCTATGTGGTGTCGGAGGAGGCTCTTCGGCGGGTGTCGATTGCCAACCGAGTCGCCGAAAGCGTCCCTTGGGCCAACACATACCTGGTGGTTGGAATGCTCGGTAAGTTGCAGGAAAAATATAAATGAAACGTCAAACTCATTTACAATTTGTGTGTAGGGACAGTTGTAACATGTTGGCCAACTACTAATAACTACTACAAACTAATAACCAGAATAACTGTGCATAAATTGCAACATAATAACAGCATGTTACTTCCGTAACATGAGGATAGTATTTGTAGCCTATTATTGGTCAGAATAATTGCAACATCCTTTATTACTCATAATTTGGAATAATGGCACAATATAGTATATTTCGTACCTAGGTTACCAAAAAACGAGGTTTTGCCGGCTCGAGATAGTTTTTTAAGTTCGAGGCAAAGTCGAACACCAAAATCGATCGAGAGCTGCAAAACCAATTTCGGTCCATGGTACGAATACCTACTATTTTTCACCACACTACTACTATATTCACAATAATAGTAATGAAAACTGATAGTCAGGGGTGCCCACAGGGGGGTTTGATGTCGCAAAATGCGACATCAAACTAGGTAGATCAAACGCTTTTTTAGTATTTTCTTGTTGTCTTTGTTATATTTAAGTTTAGTGAAGATTCCATGTTATAGACCATGTTACTAGAATCTATGGCCCTTTTTTTGTTAACGAGGTCTATTGTAACATATGTTATTTAATGACCAATAAAGATTTATGATTTATTTAATGTAAATAGCTATTTTACGCCACACTACACTATTTTGACGAACTTCCCATGCAAGGATCTAGTCCAGAAAACAGCTGTTTGTCCTTAATCAAATGGGGTTTCATACAGTACTACTGTACTATGAGTTTTGCCGGACACCAATCAGCTGATTATACTGTATTTGGGTGGCAATGAGTGGTTATAACAAAAACATAACCTCTCTTAGAGGTTATGACTAGTGATTTTTAGTCCTTTAGTTGGTGGTAATATATAGGGATTTGAACGGATTTAGTAGTATGGCGTAAACTATCGTACGTCACTCGTCCAAAATGTGTTGGCCGGACTCGTATAAAAAAACCACTACTCCACTTCGTCTGGCACGGGATTCAGGACTAGTAACGTAATAAACTATTTTACCACACTATGATGTTTTTAACTATTTTACATATAGGTACATTAATTTGTGGCTGAAAGTTACGTTTTGCAGGCCATGCCAGCTGTCATCGTCATTCGGGGATCGAGCAGGTTTTTACATCCCTAGGGCTGCAAAATCAGCTGCCCGCTTTAAATACACAACAGTATCCATAGCATTGCAATAGAGTTGTTTTATTGTCACCGCTGCCTAGCAACTATTTATATTATTATTTTTGCTGATTCCTCAAATTATTTATCCACATGACCTTAAAGTTGTAGTTGTGTTGACTATATCAGTCAGGGACATATTTCCGAATAGGCGGACTAGGCGACCGCCTAGGGCGGCAAATTTTAGGGGCGGCAACATTTTGAGGGTAAAAAAATAAAAAACAAAGTTTTAATCTAAAAAAATTTTAGCAAATAATTTTGGGAACGGCAAAATAGCCATTTCAAATATTTTTATTAAGTATACAACTATTTCAGAACGCATCCAAGTCAAACAAACGTCAATAGTTTATTACACAGCTGTGTAGAGTTGTCCGTGCTGCCTGCTGCCCCTATTGGTCTGGCGGACACGCTCGCCGCGGGAGCGGGTCGCCGTGCCGGCCGCTATGTCTAGTGACAAACGTAGAAAACACTCCCTTCTGTTTACTTTATACACCACTACGCAGTGGCAGCACTATAGCTGAAAGATTCTTGGAAAGTGTGAACTAAATACTTACCACTGTACCAAACTTAACTAATTTAAAATTGTATATTATTCTTTCAGTAAAAGTACGTAATTTTTCTTTGCGATTCATGTGTTTTTTGTAAGAAAAAAATAGTTTAAGAAAACATATTTCTTTCATTTCAAATCAAAGCCAATCTCTCAAGTGGATCTGACTAATAGTGTTCAATGAAAAGCGTTATAAGAACCATTGTATACAGACGATTTTGTGTGCCGTTTTAAGCCGCAAAATGGGATTGTAAAAATACTGATTAGATAAAAAAAAATGGTGCATTCCGTGTAGGCCTATCCAAGTCAGAATGTTTTGCAAAAAGAACGGCACAAAAAACGTTTGTTAAAAGGGGTCGAAATAGTATATTTCGTACCTAGGGCCGAAAATGAGGTTTCGCCGGCTCGAGATAGTTTTTAGGTTCAAGACGAAGTCAACCTAAAACGATCGAGAGCTGCAAAACCATTTCGGTCCGTGGTACGAACGCCATTTTCCACCACACTATACCGTAATAGCACTATTACCACAATAATGATGCACACTGATAGTCAACACAACTAGAACTTTAAGGTTATGTGAAGAAATAATTTGAGGAATCAGCAAAAATTCAAATAAATAGTTGCAAGGCAGTGGTGACAATAAAACAATTCTATTGCAATGCTATGGATACTGATTGTGTATTTAATATGCATTCATGTTTAAAAAAGTAAGCGATCAGCTGATTTTGCGGCCCTAGGGATGTAAGAACCTGCTCGGTCCCCAAATGACGATGACAGCTGGCATGGCCAGCAACTTTCAGCCACCAATTAACGCATGTAAAACAACTAAAAACATCATAGTGTGGTGAAAAGTTATTAAATTTGTTGATGCAGCATGCAATATTACCGATTATTTTTCCACAAAACCAGCTGACAGGGCATGTATTGGCCAATGGAGTGATATTAGTGAGGTCGGGGAGTGCGTTGAAAAGTGGGAGCGGGAGGGGCGGCGGCAAACTTTGTTGCCTAGAGGCGGCAGATACTTAAATACGTCCCTGATATCAGTGTGCAGTGCATTATCATTGAGGTGAATTAGTGGTAATAGGGTATAGTGTGGGGTGGTGAATAATAGCGTTCGTACCACGGACTGAAATAGTTCTCGATCGTTTTAAGTCCTCGACCTCGTATCGAACTTAAAAACTACCTCGAACCAGCTAAACCTCATTTTTGGCCCTAGGCATGAAATATAGTATTAAGTTTAGGCCTAGTAAAAGGCCTCTAGTTTAGGCCTCTATGCCGTAGAAATTATGGTTCAAAAGTTATTGCAACTTTTGTGATTTTCCCTTTTAAAACCTGTTAAATTCATGGAAAATCGGATAAAAAAACTACTTGGCCAATTTTGATTCAAATTGTGTGCATGTTAAAAATCCAACTCATTTAAATTAAAACTAAACCAACAAATAGTTTGCTACTAGAGTTTTAAAGGAAAATTGTCCATTTAAATTGGGTTAAAAGTTTGATTCAAACGCTTAAATTCCCATAAATTTAAAGAAGTGTCGGGGGCACCCCTTCCCTCCCCACATTATAAACATAACTATGGGTACCCGCATTATAAACATAACCCCAGATCTTCCGGCATGGGTTAAACAACGAATTTGGGGGGGATTCTGCGACGTGAGCTTTGGGGGGGATGGGCACCCCTGCTGATAGTCAACGAAGTTTAACAAACACGTTATTACAGGAAATCAGCTGATTATACAACAAGTCGTTGCACCACTTTCAGTGGCAATGACAATACACGAAAACTTAACCTCTCTAAAAAGTTATTAGTAGTGATTGTTAGTAATTAAATCCAGATTGATAGTAATTAAAAAAACGGTCGTAGGTAAAGTAGTGTACGCAACTCGCGTTAATAGTCTTTGTATTGTATAATTGTCTATAATAACTATATAATAATTGTCTATTGTATACTATATGTATTGTATATATTTTAATTTATTGCAATATCTGTTTACAGAGCAATTTAAATACAACGAACAATGTTTTATTAACATCCTCCGCGGCTGGAGGATGTTAGGAAGACGGAGGGAATTCGGACGAGGAGGTGCGAGAGGAAGTGAGAGAGGAGGTGAGAGAGTGCGTGAAAGAGGAGGTGAGAGAGTGCGTGAAAGAGGTGAGAGAGTGCGTGAAAGACAGGAAGAAAGGGATTTGGAAAGAAGAGCGGAACACATAGTAGTGAGAGGCCTAATGGATGAAGAGAGGAGGGCAGAGAGAAGAGGAAGAGAAGAAGGGGACAGGCATAATGAACAGTAAGTTATCACATTACCAAAACTGTAATATTAAAAATCCAGGAGTGCATATTAAAAATATGCAAACCTTTATTAATTTATGGTTACCTATACATAAATTAATATCATACAGCACAACAGTTACATAAATCTTAAGTGTAAACAATCCTACTTTGACAGTTCTCATTGTGTATGACAGATTTAATATCATCAATAACTAAATTGTATGTCGTTGTAAGGTTGTACAGTTGTCAAGTTATAAGTACAGTGTAAGGTTGTAAAGTTGTAAGGTTTACAGTAGCCTACCTACATGGTGCAGCACGATTAATTTTTATTGCATTTTTTTAAATATCTAAGTTGAAGCAACTACAGTAGAACCTTGATTAAAAGACCCTCAATAACAAGTCACCCTTAATAACAAGTGTAATTTTCAAATCCCCTTGAATTTATTTTACCCCTAATCACATGTTATTACAAACCACAATAACAGGTCAACCTTGATAACAAGTCCAATTTCATAATCACCATCAGAGTCTTGTTATCGAGGTTCTACTATCATTAACAAGTGTGAAAAAGAGAATTTAACTGTTTTATGTTTACAGGCAGTGGTAGAACATTCTGGCTGTGGTAGATGGACCCATACCAAGAACGGATACACTGCTAGTTTGTATATATAATACAGGTTTTAATATTAATTTTCATTTCAGCAACTGCAATAGGTTTGATGACGAAGGAGACGAGGAGGTTGGTGAAATGGAAAATGGATAAATATGTTTTAAGATCTATTTCCTTTATAAGTGGGCAATGTTGCTATAGTAACAAACTAAATAAATTTTTTTCCCAAAAATAATAGCATAGGACTACCGTGAATTAAAAAAAGGTAAATTTTCTTTAACCGTGTCTTCTTCCATTGTAAACTCCAAGAACAAGTATAACTGCAATAAGCATTTCATACTAAAATGCCAACCTCTTATGAAGGACAGATACTCTGCTAGTTTGTTAATATAATACAGGATTTAATATAAATTTTTGTTTCAGCTACTACAATCGACACAATGGGGGGAATCAAAATGACGACCTAGAAGATGGAGAATCAAATTAATTTCATTTTTTTTTGCAATATTTCTAATTTAAGATACAATTTATATTTCATGTTATTTTTTATATTGTTTATGAATTATTGTAAAAATACTTTACCTCTTTGTTCCATTTTTTTATTTTTTATTTTTTCATATTTGTAGGTTTGTGAATAAACTGTTGTGGTGGTGCTCTATGATTTTCCTATCTTTCCTACTCTATCTAATCTAATCTCTATCTAACCTACTCCCCAGGTACATAATGTTGATACTGTCGTGTCCGTTAAAGTGTCCTATATCTGTTGGCATCATCGGTAATATGCATCGCGGACGTATTTTGCCGCAAAGCGGCCAGCAATAGATTTTTTGTAGCGTGTGCACTACTTTTTGCCGATTTTACCCCCCTTATCCTACTCCCCAGGTACATAATGTTGATACTGTCGTGTCCGTTAAAGTGTCCTCTATCTGTTGGCATAATTGGTAATATGCATCGCGGTCGTATTTTGCCGCAAAACGGCCAGCAATAGATTTTTTGTGGCGCGCACTACTTTTTGCCGATTTTACCCCGCTTATCCTACTCCCCAGGTACATAATGTTGTTTTTGTCGTGTCCGTTAAAGTGTCCTCTATCTGTTGGCATAATTGGTAATATGCATCGCGGACGTATTTTGCCGCAAAACGGCCAGCAATAGATTTTTTGTGGCGCGCGCACTACTTTTTGCCGATTTTACCCCCCTTATCCTACTCCCCAGGTACATAATGTTGATACTGTCGTGTCCGTTAAAGTGTCCTCTATCTGTTGGCATAATCGGTAATACGCATCGCGGACGAAATTAGCCGCAAAACGGCCAGCAATAGATTTTTTGTGGCGCGCGCACTACTTTTTGTCGATTTCACCCCCCTTATCCTACTTCACAGGTACATAATGTTGATACTGTCGTGTCCGTTAAAGTGTCCTCTATCTGTTGGCATAATCGGTAATACGCATCGCGGACGAAATTAGCCGCAAAACGGCCAGCAATAGATTTTTTGTGGCGCGCGCACTACTTTTTGCCGATTTTACCCCCCTTATCCTACTCCCCAGGTACATAATGTTGATACTGTCGTGTCCGTTAAAGTGTCCTCTATCTGTTGGCATCATCGGTAATATGCATCGCGGACGTATTTTGCCGCAAAGTGGCCAGCAATAGATTTTTTCGGGCGCGCGCACTACTTGTGGCTGGAGTTATTGCCAGGTTCACACGAATGCGAACCAGCATGATCGGACTATGGGAACGGGGGTTTATGGGGGGTTTTATGGGGTAAAAATAGGGTTTTCCCATTTTTTACCCTAAAAACACAAAATTTCACAATTACTTTACAAACCATTATGTAGAGCTTAAAGAAACAAATAATTTAGTATATTGAAGCGTTATTATGCGCCTAAGGGTTACAGAAAAAATTAAAAAATTGTAATTTTAAAATTCCCATGTTATTCTTATAAAGAATAATTCAACTGTTGTAGTTTGCTTATTTATGAACATATTTTGATCAAATTTGGAAAATACATTCATTTCTTACTAAACTATAGTACCTATTAACATTTTACATTAAAAAACACTTTTTACCCTCCCTGTTGCAGCAAACCTAGGTACACGTTAAACTAATCCTATACTCTAATACGAGCAATGTTTGCTTGTATGTATGCTTGCTTGCTTGCTTGCTTGCTTGCTTGCTTGCAGAAAGATCTCGAAAACGGCTCCGACGATTTTCTTCAAATCTTGTAAATAGTTTATTTTTGGCCTAAAAACAAGTTTCATGCAGTTAGAACTGCCAACAAAAATCTAATTACGTAGAAAAACGAAACTGAAAGTCACATTTTTTTAACATTAGTCTTATGGGTTGCTAAGTAACCATGTTGGTTGAATTAAATAACAAGGAAAAAGTAAACAAAAGACTTGAAGTTGTAGCACGTGTTCATAATAAACCAACTACCCACAGTATACTAGCAAATTACAAATACAGTACAAAAGGAAAAACATCACTTGTTAATATTGAGCAAAGATTATACTTAAGATTACTCGAGACATTGTAGTCAAGGGTAGCAGTGCGAAGTCTAGGATCTGTTTATGACGAATACATTAAGGTATCTGCAATCCTAAAATGCTATGGGAAGGGAAGGAAACAGGTCCGTGACGTAGGAAGTAGTGAAGGAAGTAGTAAAGGCAATCATAAAATGCTATGGGAATAGAGGGAAACAGGTCCGTGACGTAGGAAGTGGTGAAGGAAGTAGTCAAGGCGAGCTGTCCGGAGTGTGGGAACTGTTTATGACGATTAGATAAGGGTATGGGCTATCCTAAAATGCTATGGGAAGGGAGGGAAACAGGTCCGCGACGTAGGAAGTGGTGACGGAAGTAGTCAAGGGGAGTTGTCCGGAGTGTGGGAACTGTTTATGACGATTAGATTAATGTATCTGCAATCTTTAAATGCAATGGGAAGGGAGGGAAACATGTTTGCGACGTAGGAAGTGGTGAAGGAAGTAGTAAAGGCGATTAGTATGGAGCGTGGGAACTGTTTATGACGATTAGATTAACATATCTGCAATTCTGAAATGCTATGGGAAGGGAGAAAAACAGGTCCACTACGTTGGAAGTGGTGAAGGAAGTAGTCAAGGCTAGCTGTCCGGAGTGTGGGAACTGTTAATAACGATTAGATTAAGGTATCTACAATCTTAAAGTGCTATGGGAATGGAGGGAAACAGGTCCATGACGTAGGAAATGGTGTAGGACGTTGTATAAAGGCGAGCCGTGTGGAGTTTGGGAACAGATTTATGTATCTCCGAAACTAAGACTGCTTTCAGAGTGAACTAATGATTTTCTCCGAGCAAAGCTCGGTCCCCAGGTACTTCTATTTAAATAGGGAATAAATTTGGAAATTCACTAAGTCTGCAGGTTTGCTGCGGCGGGGGTATTTTTATTATAAAATTAAAATGTTATAACCTAACCTAACTAACCAAACTTGCTGATAATGAAAAAAATTGAATGAAGGTTTACTTATCAAAAAAATAGTTCTGTTCATAAAATAAAACTATAAATGCCTCAAATTCAATTTAAAAAATTTAATTATAAAATTAAACTGTCATAATCTAACCAAACTTGCTGATAATGCAAAAATCTTAGATAAAAAGTTAGTGCCGCTTTAGCTTCTCAGTCCAGCACTGAGGAAGCAAGCCTGAATTAATCTTAAAATATCAAGCCATCAAACCAAATTCAAGGGTCGTACTGAAAACCTGTGAAACCTGAATCAACCCTGAAAATTTTAGGTTGATTCAAGGTAAACATTTCTTGCAGTTATGCAAAATCAAGGCTGAATTGAGGTTGAATTAAGGTATAAGTATGTTTAAATTAAGGTAAAATCATGGTCAACTCAGGACTTAAACCTGAAAATTTTAGGTTAATTCATGGTAAACCCTTTTGGTCGAAATCAAAATATATTAATTGTTGAATTCGGGTTAAATAAAAGCATAATCATGATCAACTCGACATAACAAGTGATTGACTGACAAGGAATTTTACTTGAGTTACGGTCTTAAAGCAGTCCGACATTTTAATGTCCCTAGTGGATAGCCTAGCTGTTTTGTTTTTGTGAACTCGAGAACTTTAATGATGCCTTTATTTATTTATTTATTTTAAAACGGTTGCACCATTTTTACAAGATAATTTATTTTTGTAAAAAAATACAACCGACTTCAAACGCTCTAAAAAGAATGAAATAATTTCAATAAAGTAAACTTTTGTATTAGGCAAGCTCACGTATTTAAAGTCGGCGCGGCTCTATGATGATTTTTGATACAAAATTTAAAGAGGGTGTCCATATTGCAGGTGACTATCTATAACTAAAGGGGTTAATCTGCATGTTTTTTTTCATAGTTATGCGTTAAGTGTTATTTTATTACCGTAATCAGAGATCGGCATCATAGTGGTATTACAAGTATCTTTAAAAATATTATAACGCATTTAAATGTTTCTAACTTAGAAAAGTAACGTTTTAATACTAAACTAGCTTCTTTTCCCTATCACAATATCAAACTAAATTATTTTCCTATTCATATAGAACATTTGTGTGTGTTATTTTCATAATGCATTTATTCTGAAGTAAACATAAAATACAAGAAAATATTTCCTTTAATATATAAACAAAACAGTTCAGAATGTTTTTTATATATTTATGTTATCCAGCTACAATTTATTGATTTTCAAAATACACACACAATATTTAATTTCAATCATATTTGTAGCTTGAGCCGCGCCGACTTGAAATACGTGAGCTTGCCTAATACAAAAGTTTACTTTATTGAAATTATTTCATTCTTTTTAGAGCGTTTGAAGTCGGTTGTATTTTTTTACAAAAATAAATTATTTCATGATTTTTAGTGACTGTATAATTTTTTATGTATTAATTACTTGAGGTTTTTTGATAAGCAAAACTGTTTGAAACAATCAAAAGTTCCACAGAACAATCATTATTTTAAAACTGCTTGAGTCACCTGTTCAGGTTACATAATCAATGGGTATGAAAATAAACATTTTTAGATATTCCTTTAAGAAAGAAAGAGTTGTCCATTACATTAGGCCTAATGAAAAACTAATTGTCTTTTCTAGATACATTGAAATGTCAGACATCATCGTTTCCTGCAATCGGTGTACTTCTACATTATAAAAAGAAATACGTCTCAAGCCTTTTGGAGCAATATGAAAGCTATTCCTCAGCTACCAGCACTAAAAAATCTCTCAAAAGTGGAAAATTGGTCGTTAACACGTATAGTACCTTTGGAAAATATTATATGAAAGATTGGTTCAGCTAAAAGTGGTGGACTATTAGAAAATTTAATCTTTTGAATTTTGGATAATGTTACAGTGTTGTTCTTGGTGTAATTATTTTCAGTAATTCCGAATTTATAATTGGGCCGTCTTCATTAGTCTATTTAACAAATAATTTTGGTCTGTTTTTTTTTTCTAAAAATAAGATTCCCACGCATTAAGATGTTGAGGTTTTATTATTTATTTTAAAAGTTTAAGGTTTCCCAGATTG